TATTAAAGAAATTAGAAAAATAGCCCATTTCATGGACCAAGAAATTGCCGTCCATCTAGCGGTGAAAGTTGAAACTAATCGAAAAAGTCCATGAATTACACCTTTTTTCTAATTTCGTTATTAATAGTCCTAGCATGTCATAATGGTATTCTATCGATTCCGTAGAAGACAAGGAACAATTTGTATATCTTGGAATTTCGAAACAGTGCTTATTTTTCGAGAAAATCGAGTTTTTCTATTTTTGTAGTTCCAACTTTCGCCGCTAGATGGACGGCAATTTTTTGGTCCATGAAATGGGCTTTTTTTCTATTTTCTTTAATATTGGTCCTTTAATATCGGTCCTAGAAGGTTATGAAAGCACTCATTCGACTCCGTAGGCGGCAAGGAACAATTTGTATATCTTGGAATTTCGAAAAAGTGCCTACTTTTCGAGAAAATCGATTTTTTCTATTTTTGTAGTTCCAACTTTCACCGCTAGATGGACGGCAATTTTTTAGTCCATGAAATGGGCTATTTTTCTATTTTCCTTAATAATGGTCCTAGAAGGCTATAATTATATTCGTTCGATTCCGTAGGCGACCAGGAACAATTTGTATATTTCAGAATTTCGGGAAAGTGCCTAGTTTTCGAGAAAATCGAAATTTTAGTTTTTCGTAGTTCCGCCGCTCGCCGCTAGATGGCGCCACCTGTACCATTTTGGACCGAATTCGACAAAAATTCATTTTCTGGCTTTATTAGGCATCGAAACGCATCAAACCCTAATAGAAATTTGTTTCTAAATGCCTCAGGAACAATACTACGTCATCAAAGTGCCGAAATATTCATTTCTTTATTTTCCTTATATGCGTGGTCGGACCCCCATGTTTTTGGATCAGTCTTTTCGGTGATTATTCCTCCGTGGCAAGTCCGATTAAAAATTTTTTTTTTCTATGTCCATCTGAATGTACATACGCATGTTCGTGCAAAATTTGATGAGAATTGGTTGAGTGGTGCAAAAGAAAAACGCGGACAAAGAAGTTGCAAAGTCAAGTATAAACATAATATTAATTCTTTTAATTTAAAATACATTTATTGTCAAATAATACTTGTTTACATAGTACACATTTAACTGATCAGGTACAATGAGATTACAAAAATAAATAAAATCGAATCATAAAGGTTATGTTCATTTTACAATATTTATGTCTGTTCGTTCGAGTCAATCAACGCATCAGTAGACAACGTATCGCTCATAAGAGAGGTGATCTGAGATACATTGCATGGTTCGAAATCATTATCCGATAGACAATAATCATATAATTTTGACAGTGAACTATCCATCGACGTCTGCATCGGTAACATTCGGTTCATCGATGACAGCGATAAATCACTTCTCGTTGTTTCGCTGCGATCCATACTTCCAAACGTGATTTTACTTGATACAGATGGTCGTTTTTCTAGTTCATTTAAACGAAGACGATTGTCCATCGCCGAATAAAAAGATGACGTATTTGTCGAGAAAGTACGATCGAGTGGCATACATTTTCCACGTATACTAATCGAACTGTTACCACGGTTTCCGATCTCTAACGGAACTGCGTTCATCGAAATGCCAGAAGTGCTGGACGAAGGAGAAACCGTTCTAAAGTCAGGGTTTGCTCGAGTAGTTTCTTGCGTACATCGATTCCTTGCATCAAAGTTTTGTTTGGAATAAGCTGTCTCTGATATGGGCTTTCTAGAAAGGTTTTCCTTTTTTCTGTGCACATCTGCTTCAACTCCTACAGCATCTTTCTTGTTTCCTAAAGTTTGTTCAACGCGAGGTATCTTTTCATTGAAACGTTTGACAAGCAGGGTGATTCGTTCTCGATCGAACTTGTTCGTTTCCAGTAGTTCGTACAACTGCGCCACGAGGTCGTAACATGTCTTCTCCCAGGAGTTCGACTCGGTTGTAGCTCGATCCACCGTCTGTACAAGAGACAATTCAAATTTTTATCTACTCAAGTTTTTATCAAATTATAGATCTATCAAATTTTATTTTGCATAGAGTAATACCAGTTTCTCAGAAGCGTATTTCCGTGCCTTCTCCGTAATCGGCTTCGGTAAACCAGTTAACTCGGCCAAAACGATACCATAATCGTCGCTAGGTGTCACCCCAAGCTTCAATCGATGTGTATAAGTCAATCTGCATTCGATTTCCTCGTCTGCATCTTGCACCTTTATCGCTTCAAAGTGGTAACTACAAAAGATGCCAGAAGATAGGAGTTTCATCAAGTTTGAATACGATAGAGTATACCTTGTCGCGTTACGGTACAAATCCGGTAATTTTGTCAGGTAGGAAAAGTGAGTGGCGGCGAAGACAAACGCGGTTGTGTTCAAAAGCTGTTCACATATGGCCCATGCGATGGAGGTGCCCTCTTCGATCGCGGTGCCTTTGCACAGCTCGTCCAGGACGACCAACGACGTCGGTGTAACAGATCGTAAAATATACTGTGCCTCTTTCATCTAGGGATAATAAATTCATAAACGGAACACATTATGCGCAGGAAGAACTAACCTCGAGGGTGAACGTAGAAGCGTTACATTCGATGTCGTCCCGAACAGCTATTTTACAAAAGACGAAGTCTGTAATGCGGAACATTGCGTTCTTCGCTGGCACAAAGCATCCAATCTGCGCCATTATGTGCAGCAGAACGATCTGTTTAAGATACGTCGATTTGCCGCTCATGTTTGGTCCGGAGATTATAGAGAAGTTGTAAGGTACGGAGGCGGTCTAAATGAAAAATGCGGATGAGGTAATTTAATCAGGGAGAAAAAGGAGAAAAGAAGAAGGGGTTTACGATGTCGTTGGGTGTGGGAGCATCGACACCGAAAACTTCCATCACCGGGTGTCTGGACTCGACCAGATCCAATCTTGGTCCGAACGTTGGTCTCGCATACATTTGAAGTGTACTGACTTGAGCGAGGGAAGTGACGAGATCCAACTCTGCAACGTCGGCGCTTAGTTGGAATAAACAACCGATGTGTCCTCGAATACTTTGCAGCAAGTCACAGAGGAGCCTGCAGTCGTGAATTTTTAATTTGAATAAATTGAATATGTTTGAACTGAAGACGTATATGTAGGTGTGGATAGACGTGGACCTACACGTTGCTCATAAGGTGCAGTTCTTCGCACGCGATTTTACATTGTTGACTCAAGGTCGCCAGCACCGTAGTGGTCATCGTACACGATCGCTTATTCTTCCGTACCTAAAACCATGATATTTTTTATCGATGCTTGGAAAACTTATTGTATCTTTAATAGTCGTACCTCGATGAATTCGGCGGGTGGTTCAAAAGTGTCTGGATTCACATTTTTAGGTAGTATCACTTGTACATGATAACCCAACGACGCATTGCAATTTAAAGACAAGATCAACTGATACTTTGCCGACAGATTCTCCACCATAGCTACCGAGAACAAAGAAAACTAGAGTAGTAAAAGAGTAGTAGTAAAGCAAGAAATGCAAGAATGTTTTGAACTTTTCATATCGTCGATTAATTCGCAGTATGTTTGTCGTGCGATGTCCAACAGGTCATTGATTCCTGCCTTGATGGCGAAACAACGTTGCATGTTCGACGACGTATAACCTGTAACGGATCTCGCATCTGGATGTATCGTCTCGAGAATCCTCTCCCTTATCGACTGAAACTCAGGGTTGTCCAGTTTCTGAAAGTCACTGTGCAATATACGCCACTGTGCGTTTAAGTTTACATAAATGAATAATAAGTCTACCTTCCGAATTGTACGAAGTAGGTCGCACTCAACGGCCGATAAAACACTCGCAAGTTCCGGCACGACGTCCAACAAATTTTTTAGCAGCAGAACATAATTCAGATTCTGTTCGGCACATTGCACGCTATTGTCTTGTATAAGGGGCGTCGTCGCAAGGGCCAGCAGCCTATCCGCGCCGTAGAGCCGCCGTACGATGGACTGATGTATCAAGTTACGACTTTAGCTTCTCAAATTACAAGTTTATAAAAAGAGGGAGAAAAAGTGAATCCATGCATAAACAGATTGTGCACCTGAACGAGTGCCCTCAGTGAACTATCAGACGCTATTTCGGCGACGGCTGCCTGTCTCCTTAGAATGATACGTTCTTCGCAAGGAGGTTGAAGAATATTAGTCCGCAATAGCTTCCTGCCCATCGGTGTTGAACAACGATCCAAAACACCGAGGAGGCTCATGTTCCGTTGTCCACATTGGGATTCAACTAACTCCAAACTTCGCGCGCTTTCTAAATCTACAATGTGAAAAATATTCATTTACTGTTCCAGTTTAGTTATGATGTAAATGGGTCTACCTATCGTGGTAGAGTTTGGTGAACCCTGGAACTCGATCTTCATAGATTTCGGCACGTAAACCACACGTCGTGTATATTCAACGTATTTCAACAGAGCTGCAGCTGCAGCCAATGCGTAGTACCTGAGAAAAAAATTTAAAACTTAAAAATTGAATCTGTGCATCTTGTATCTTAGAGTTTTTCTATAGAATTTGCAGTAAGCTTTTACATATCTTGTAACCAAACACAGCAACGCTTTCTTTGGGCCACTACAGGCTCAAACCGTGCATTAAACAAGCACCTAGAGTACCTAAATAAATGTGTCTAATCCTCTACTTACTTTTGTTTAACGTACAACTCCACTGACGAGTATTCCGCGATGCAGAGAGACTTGACTCGTTCTAATCCAACCGCGTCGTTAAAATGAACGCGAGATATAGGTATTACTTCCAGCTCTGGAAATTTCTCCATTACCGACCTATAAAGGATTCCTTTACCCACCGCACGTTCGCACATGGTGTCCGGCATCAGGATCTGCGTATATGACCGGTTTAATCGCATGTAGGTACAGGTTTATTTCAGGCTTACCTCTATCGGATCGAACAGGTACAATTTCCTCAAGGCGTTTGTATAAGTTTGAGAGTCGCTGATTTGACAAAGAATCAAATGTGGACATCGAACGTTCAGGGCGGCTATTCCTACTTCGAATCTTGCTTCTCCACGACCAGTTGTTATTGCTGCACGATCATGTTGCAGGAATTATTTATTGACTGTGATATTATCTATGATAGATATAGTCGTAACTTTTTAGACGTCTACTTACCGAGAACGATGCCGCTACCGGAATCGAGTGTGCTGGAACCAGGACCTGTATTCGTTTTCGTTCCAGATCTACGAGTACATGTAACATAAGCATAGAATATACGTATCTATTAATTTTAAGATAATTCACCTAGAATTATAATTGCGAGATGTCGTAGTAGTCAACAGAGTGGAGGACAAGACATTCCGGTTTTGATAATTTGAACTTTTTGAACAGTTGGGACTCGCTGGTCTCCAATTCGTCTGTTGCTTTCTTCCGAAATTAAAATCTAAGTCTGCATGGATAAAATAAAGATATAATACGGTATTTTGTGTCAAATATACGTTACGTACAATGTTACGTACAATGTCTCGATAAAATGGGCGGCAAGTCCAATTCTCTTTGTAATCTCGCTTCGTTTCGTTCTTTAGCTGGTCGAAAGAGATCATTTTGCATTACGTTCATGACTTCAATCAAATAAGATTGCTTCAGGAACAATGATTCAAGCGTAAAAGTATTTGACAGTCAAACTCGAGAAAATTAAAAGCGCGGGAAAGCACTTGACGACGCCATCTTTGTTATTCCGTCAGAAGCTACTCGAATATTTTACGCGCGAAATTTGAAAATTTAAATAATGAAAAAGAAGAAAATTATTGAATGATGGGAGTTAAATAATTGTCTGACAGTGTCATTCTTTTAAATTATCAATATATAAGATTTATTTACAAACTGTACCGTAATCTCCGTACAATAAGTAATACAGAAAGATAAAGAATTCCTTGATAGCGGAATCTCAATACATTTAATAAATAACAATATATGTATCACGATCGTTATGGATTTAAAATAAATACTGTTTACCGTCGGCCTATAATTTCATTCCCTTACGCGTATTAGCTTATTTACAAATGTAAGAAAATCGATTGTCAGGCTGACGACGAAACGCCCTGCCCTGTACGATTCGACGGTTCTCGATCAGCGATCATCGATCGTCGACCAGCAATGCGCCAACGCGTTTAACCGCGCGATTCAACTATAAAGCGAATATCGGTCACATCAAGCGTATCAAGTATAAACAATCGATATAATCAAAGAAAAAAGAAAAGGAACGAGCATCGTTCCCAACAAGTGAAGCAACGCGTTGCACGAATTCTTGCGTCGCTATTCTACCGAAAATGTGCCCTTAACGTATACAAACGATTACGCGTCAAACGTTAAACGCTAAACGTTGAAAAAAGTCGACCAAAACGACAACCGTGCAGTCGATACGTCCAGAAAGCTACACGGTCGTCGCATCGGTTATTAAAAAGTAAAAAGTAAAAGGTAAAAAGTACTTTGCGCGTTAAACGCGCGTTCAAGGCTAACGACGTTTCGACTCGGAGTCGTTCGACGATTAGACAACTTATGAATTAGTTATATACAAAAAATTGCACACGAGTACGATTCGAGCATAGGATACGTAATGCAAATAATTGACGATCGAGTAAATCGCTGCGATAAAAAATGCTTCGTTGGAAGGAAGGAAACGTTCGTAGAGCGTCGAACGATGTCCTCTCGGTTACTTTCGTTAAATCGCTGTTCTCGTTGAACACGGACCCACGTTAAACGTGACTCTCGAGCGGTACTTTGTATACTTTGGAAGGCAGAGTGGTGTCCGGTAAGGATTGTGGACGAGCGTTGGTCACGTTGAAGACGACGTTGCTCGGTCCACGAAAGCTCACCTCGATGAGAAAGCTGGCATCGGTGAGTCCGATGCGAGCGGTACTCAGATCAGGCGAGCTCGTTCTCAATTGACTTTTCTTCGGCCTGTACTCGTTCTTGACTACCCTCTCGGTCTCCACTTGCAGCTTGTTGTCCAGCCAATGCACCTTGTCGAAATCCTTGGTACCACCTACGGTATGCCTGCGTTTGATGGACCGTTCAGGCATACCGTTTTTTCGCTTCAATTTCGTCGCGCTGTCCTTCCTGACGGACTGCCGTCTCTTGCTAATATTACACTCCGTCTTCTCAGTCTTCGTCAACGACTCGGACCGCTTCAGTTTACTGTTCGGAGAATCGGACCTTTCCGAGTGTTTGTTCAAACTTTCGGATCTCTTCAGTTTACCGTTGCTCGGAGAACACAGCCTCTCGACGGAATGCTTGTTCAAACTCTCGGACCTCTTCAGCTTCGAACAAGCGTTCTCCGACCTCTTGTTCAAAGACTCCGACCTTTTGAGTCGCGAGCGAACCTCGAAGTTCGTCAGACTCTCAAATTTCTCGAGCTTGTTCGAATAATTCGATTCGACGTCGTGTCGAAAGTCCCTGGCGTCGTTGCTTTTGTCGGTGCGCGTCGACGCGGCTGCTTCCTTTTCGTTGTTGCAGCATTCTTGAGTCTCGTTCGACGTCGACGTGGATGTTGAGTCTGGCTCAGTCGTTTCTTTGTTGGATTCAATTTTCCTCAACACCACGGCGCTGCGGTCGTTGTCCGGCACGTCGTCGTCCGACCGGTCGACGTTCCTGTTGTTCTCCGCTGCTACCGACGAGTCCGTATCCTTTTCCGGAGCGTCCTACACATACAGATATATCAATGTAGTTTACCGTACAAAATTATAGACGCAAGGGAAACGAAGGAAAGAGGTATAATTTCATCTCACAAGATTTTCTGCGTACGTTCTCTGCGGTCTTATGACGGTCATGAAGTATATACTCAGTGCATAAAAATGACTTCCGCTTGCTGATTGCAGCATGTTCCACTCGCAAGGATAAAGGAGATGTAGAGTCCATAAAGAGAACGAAAGGGGCAAGATACTTGCATTTTTTGGACGAGCCAGTTGGTACTTGTCAACGGATGATCTATGAAGGCTCGGATCTCGATAAGTTTCGATCGACTGAGTTTTCCGTTCCGTGTCTTCGACAGTTTCCGGCACGCTCCGCGGGTTTCTCGAGTTATCCTCGTCGTTGAAAGACACGCTCTCCGCAGCGGAGCGATCTTGATTCGACGAATTCAGCAAGGATCTCCATTTACGATCAAACGTGGTCGTCAAGCTGGTCAGAAGATCGCTACCTGTAATTCAAACGAGAGTTACTAATCAAGTGTATAGTTTAAGTAAATTTGAAAGCGAAACCAGAGGCATACAAAGCGTCGTCGATCATTTTTGTAGAAAAAAAACAAAGTCGCTCGGCAGCAAAAACACAAAGAGTTCGTCTTGGTAATCGACGCTCTTACAAAGGCCACACACAGCATCCTACATTAACGATTGTCCCTCACAATTAAATGTTTGATCTTTCTCTTCCTCGCAGTGTTTACAGAACGCGGTTTCTGCGCATGCGCATAAGGTGAATACACGGACCAATCAGAGCGCCATTGCGCGCGCAGTCGCACGCTGATTAGTCCGTGGTTTTTATTCAATAATTCAAAAATGGAGCTTCAGACCCCATTTTTGTGAAGGGAAATCTTATTCAGAATAAGCTTCCCCTCATTTCTGAGACACTAGTTGTGACACACACTATTTCATACAACTCATACATCTTCCTCACACATTTCATACATCTCACATCTATCTCACACATGAATACATACATATTTACAATGATGTACGAAGACAAAAAGGGTACATTAATCATCCACACAAAATTTTAATTGAACCACAAAAATGTCTATAAAGTGGATGATGAAGGTACTCCTTTTTTATACATATAATTGACTTAATTCTATATTTGTATGCAACAGAAATCGCGTTGTGTCTCACACTGCCGCATCTCGGTAAAGTCTCTAACGGTGAGATGACAGACTGACAAACTGAAATGAAATGACAAACTGAGGCACGAAAAGAAAAGGCTGTAACGATCACCTTGAGGCGACAGAGAAAGCTAACGCTCGAGGGATGATAAGCGTACGAAGATCCGCAAGCGAGAAAATATCGCGTTAACGTGCGTTAGCGTGAGAAACGCAAATGGAAACACAGTGAGAAGCCATTCGTGCGAGGCAGTTTCCAGAGCGGTTTCCCGACTCGGTATCTCGGTCAGCCAAGCGATTTACCTCGAAGGAATTTGTTTAAAGTCTTGGAAGAGAATCCGGGCCCTGAGCCCGACGGCCCTCGCGGTGGTCGCCCGGGCTCGTCGGGCAGTCGGAAGAGCTCGGAGGGCTCCGAGGCCGCGACGGGCGTCGAAGAAGCTCGCGCGACGTCGGCTGCGTCCGATACCGGCCCTGGCACTTGTATTCGCCCTGGCATCGACATTGCCACGGACATTGGCATTGCCATTGGCATTGACATTGGCATTGGTATTGGCATCGGCATTGATATTGGCATTGACATTGATATTGGCATCGGCATTGGCGATGGACCCGCTGGTGTCTTCGAGGGAGGGCCAGTGGGACTTGCGGCACCGTGTAGGTGTGATGATATATACCACCAGAAACTGGGATTTGCCGTTTGCCTAAGTGTTCAACGCATCGTCATAATCGACGCCCCATCGAGATAGAAAGAGAAAGCGAACGCGTAACAAACTACGACTGACAACGAAAATACTGTCTCCTGCCTCCGTTCTTCCTTCTCTACCTCTCACTATCGTTAACACGTTGACTGCCATGCTGCTTACCTGGAGCTACAAATTCAGTTTCATTAATTATATAGAACAACAAACGGAAAAACTTGTGCTGTTAATATTCATTATGCACACGAATTAAAAGTAATATGACTTACGTCAATTTGCACCGTGGCAGTCGCACGTGTTAACCTTGTTATTCATCTACTCTCTGCGCAAACATTATCGGATTCTTTGCTCATATAGTGAAATATGCAGATAGAAAAAGGTATAATTTGATCAGTTTTTTAATATAATTTTATAATTGTAGATCAAGGTATACCTTTTTACATATTTGCATATTTACTTCATTTGTCAACGCTACCTGTTTACACTGATCAGACCTAAAGTACACAATTGCCTTGTACATAATATATAAAGATACACACTTGTCTTGTTACATTGTTAACAACTAATCATACAAATATAGATGTACAAATGAATCATGTCTTGTTACATGTGTAGCCTTAGGTCATAATCGTGGTTGTAACTTATATTTCATACGAGATTTCGAAGAACGAGGCACGTATGACAGCTTCGAAACCAAAAGCGATCAAGCGCGCATGCGGTCAAGCTGGCTGCGTAATCTATGTATCGTATCAAATTATACCGCATATAATATACGTTTTCACGCCACAGACTCGAGATTCTAGAACAAAGGTCGGCAAACTTTGAAATCAGACAAATCAAGTGTCTCAAGTGTGATAAGTCTTACAGTAGGACTCCTAAAGTAGCACAGGGTGTCTCACAACTATTGTAGGTCCTTGAAGTGGTAGCTGACGTGATTCTGAATAAGATTTCCCTCTGCAAAAATGGAATTTGAAGCTTCGTTTTTGAATTATTAAGAAAAACGCAATCAGAAGATTATGCGCGCGCAGCTAGCCTCGAAACGGTCGCCTGCGCGCGCAGCTGCGCTCTGATTGGCCCGCGCTTTTATTTAATAATTCAAAAACAAAGCTTCAAACTATTTTTCTGAAAAGGGAAAACTTATTTAAAATGAAGTCAGCTATCATTTCAAGGACCTACACTAGTTGTGAGACACCTTGTATAATAATTCTTATGCTACGTAACATTTTTATAATATAAGAATTTATATAGTGACTATACAGTAACTATATAATATCCTTTACAAGTTTGCCGACCTCTGTTCTTGATCGTAGAGCACATGCAAGCCATACGCGCAGCTTACAACTCGAGAAGTATTCCGCGTACACCGCAAGAAAGAAAAGACATTCGTAAAAGCCATAAGCTGCGGAAAGTTTGCGTAGTCCTTATCCTCCTTATCCTACTAAAATGCACGAAGCAAATAAATTCGTAACGATGTGCTGAATCTAAGTCGAATGCAGTGTGCTGTACGTTCCATATCGTAAGTTCGTCACCTATTTCCCGACAATACAGCGAATCGAAAAAGCAAACAAAAAGAAACCGTGAAATCGAACTATAATATTCATACGCATCTATCCGACATCGGTTTAAGAAAAATCGTTCCGAAAACAACAAAGAACGAAGAGTACCTAGAAAGCTTTTTGTTAATGGTCAGAATCTTCTGAGTCCACTGTAGAAAACAAGATCCGGCTACGCTCGTCAGAAGTGACGTTATAAAGAGAGAAATATAAACGATATAAATATATACATGTAAACGTAGAATAAGATCGCGTATTCCTACTGATCTTGTTTCGCTAACTGAATTGAAACTCTTCTTCCCTCTTCTTTAAAGTATACGATATGCGAGGAACGTGGAGATGATACTAACCATCATCCGAAACGTCGCTGGAGACTGGTTTTCGACGTTGGTTAGTCGGCGAGAGCGACGATCGGGCGTCGTGCGTTTCGTGCAGAGAATCCAAGCTACCATAGCGAACAGGTGACAGCGTCGTTGGTTGTTCGGTCACTGGCTGTAAACGCAATAAATGAGAACCAAGGAAGAGGCATGTGATTATAAAATATTTGTCTTCCTACCTCCGCGTCGGTTTTCATTTTCTTAACAAAATTATTCGCTACCGTCTCCGACGATGTGGTGGCGGGTTCCTCCGTGAATCGCGACACTCTTCTGGCGGTGGAAGGTTGTTGCTGCACGGCAATGGACAAAGGTGGAATTCGAGGCGATGACAAAGATGTTACATCGACGAAAGACTGATCGGCAGGTCTGTCGACTGTAGAAAGACGGTGATAAGGTGGGGTGACGGTAGTGTCGACTATGCTATCCAGTAAGTCATCGTTCTCCATCTCACGTTTCGCCAATTGCCACTGCATTTCTATCCTCCGTCGTTCCTCTTCCCTCTTCTCGGCCTCCCGCCTCTGTCGATTCTGATCCCTCTGCAGCATCGCTTTCGTTTCTTGCTCGAATCTTCGTATACGTTCTTGGGTAGTCGCGCTGAGCCCCGCGTAGGTTCTTATGGCGACCTCGTCGTTACTCTGTTTGGTGTCGTTCGATGCGCTCGAGAGCGTCGAACTCGTGTCGAAGAAGCTCAGGCCAGTCTCGCTAGAGAGTCGCGACGGCGACTCGGAAGCCGACGAGACGGCCGAGCGACGAGCAGGTTGAATCGACGATTCGATCGACTCGACCGAAGGATTTAAGTATTTCCTTGATCTGTCGGAGCTAACATCGTTGCCGTTTGCCGCACTCTCCGGCTTTATTTTCACATCATTCCCCTCATCACCGTCGTTTCTATTGCCTCCTCCATTATCACCGCCATTTATATCACCACCGTCCGCAAGATTGATTGCGGCTTCCATGGTCGAAGCCCGATCGACGGAACGATTCGACTGACTATTGTTCTCGTGCATCAACACCATCTCGCTCACAGAACACTGCCGTTCGTTCAGCGCCATACTCTGTCGGTTCGGTAAGCTCTCCGCTTCCGGTTTCGTCCTCGTCTACACAAACACAAAGATACCTCAGTTTACAGTTTACAGTGCAAAAATATTGTACGAACCTTTTCGACTTCATGATTCTCGTTGTCAGTCTCGTCTTGAACCTTCCTCCTCCTCTGTATCTTACGATTCGCTGCAGATATAATGGACGACACGATGTCCTTAGCGGACGCCATTTCTCGTACCCCTGTCATAGAGATTCAGATGTAAAACCAGTCGCATCTTGAGTGTAATAACTGCAAGATACCGTACCTTCTACCTTCTGAATGTTGTTCAGTAACAGATTGTGATTATTGCTCGAGGTTGCGTCGATTTCGCTGGTGTCGGCCGGAAGGCTAAGGTTAACGCTCAACCTGCTTAAATCGTCCAGGTCGTCGTCCGAGAAAAACCAGTCAACCTACACAAGACAATGTATTTTAATTTAATTCTATTAACACAATCATCATTGAAATACATACGTTGTTCAGCAAACTCTCAACTATCCGACACTGGTGCGACATGTCGGTAACCATGGTGACCATATTATCCCTGGAACCACTCGCCCGAACCAGCGTCGGACCGAACACGATAGCCAAATTCTTCGCCTCCATCTTATTAATCTCGCTGTGCTCGACAATCTTCTTCAAATGGAACATCAAATATTTGAGCGTCTCGAAGTGATGTTCGGGTAGGTCCCTCAGCAGCTTCCTTATCGTTGTCATCCTCCTCTGCGGATCCTCAACTTTATCGGCGTCGATAAACATGGGATACAATTCTGCTGTGAGCAACGAGTCGGGAAGTTGACGGAAGAAAGACTTCAGGAGAGACGATATCACGTTCACATCGCTCCATCTTGGATCCTAGTAAAGGCGTCCATTAAAAAAAGGAGAATAAGAGAGTGAAAGAAGATAGGTACCTGGAGATTGATATTTTCGAATCCTTTGTTCACGGTGTCCGTCAAGTGCGATATCGCAGCTGTGTTGCCAGGCACTCTGTATATTCCGACCACTTCAAGACCCCTCGCTTCGACGATGCTCGTGCACATCTCGACGATCAGCGGCACGTACTCCGAGAACGATGACTACGAAAAATGATATCTTAGTCTCCTTCATGTTCCTTTATTAAGGTATGGTATAATTACCGGTGGACACAGTTCAAGCGGTACTCTGAAAGTGGCACCCTCAGGCGGTAATTGCGTGGTCGGCGAAGAAGGAGGCCCCGACTGCCCGTGCATTCGTCGAAGCTGCTTCGCGACTCTGCCTTTCCACGTCTTCGTCTTTGGTGAAATTAAACTCTCGATCGTCTGACTCGGCTTGCGGGTTTTGTTGATCGGCGACTGACCAGTCGGCGATCGGTTCCTGAACGAAGTCAGCTTCTTGATGCTTTTGTGCCCTGGCAGGGGGCTCAACCTCTGCCCCCCAGCACCTACACCAACGCCACCGTTGCTCGGTATCGTTATCGAGTTGGTGTTCGCGATTGTCTGACACGTCGAAGAGTTACTGGTAGAGCAAGGTGTCTGCGGGACGGCTTGTTGCTTCAAGGTACTGTTGTGCGCAACTTCCTGTAATTCGAAACGTATGAAGAATTTTTCTGAAGACTGCGGTTTCGTCGCTTTCGAACTCACCGATGGTTTTTCAGCGGCAGCGTGCTCGTGCAATGCTCGTAACCAAAGCGCCATCGACGCCGCGTCTTCCGTTTGCAGCAGGACCTCCGCGTTCGGATTCGCTAGTCGCAGCACGTGCTTACGCTTTGTGTAATTCTCGGCGATGTCCACGAGGGAGCATCTGACGTCCACGCTTTGCGCTACGTTTTCACCGTCGTTGGCTAACGAAGGACTCTGTAAGATGGTATGAAACGTTAAGGAATGTTCAGTATATTTTTAGGGTTGCTAAGAACTAGAAAGGTTGAAGAGTCATCCTTGTACCTGATTTTGACGATCCTTATAAAAGAAGAGTATCGGTCCACGAAGAACGCCCCACACTTGCTTCCACGAACGGTCGGAAGATCGCTAAAATTAAAGGTATATTTAAAAATTGCATAGACCTTGAACAGCCTGTTATTTTTATTCTTACCTTGCCATCGAGTACAGTGAACTTCACATGCAAAGGTCCTTCTCGTTCCACCTGTCCAACCTGCCCGACGTCCTTCACGATGTTGGTCTCCTCGCTGCATGTATTACTGTCAAACGAACGAAAGTTTTAGTAAGAGTACTTCCATGAGACACGGTGAAAACACGGGGTACCGCAAATTTTCAGTAGGTATTGCTGTAAAATCAGGTGAAAATCGTTAGTCGGTAAAAGCGAAGCGGTTAAGTCGAGTTTGGTATCTGTTAAGACGACGTTAACGAAGAGACACAGCAGCAGCAGAAACGACTACGGCAACGACGAGAACGCTTGCGAAAAACTATAGCGTTTTCGTGCTTCTCTCAACGTATCCTCACCGGTGAGCGTTTCTGCTTAAGCTCGCAGACTGAGTCACTTCCTCGAAGATGCGCCGTAACGATGCGATATCGTTTGGAAACAGCGGTAGCCGCCATCTCTTATGAACGCTGAAAATACGGATGGAGGCAAAACATAATGTATACTCGCGACAACTGTACAACCCCGTATTCCGTTCTAACGCGGACAGAAGAAAATGCGCGGAGAAGGCGAGATACGACCCAGGCGGTAAGCGTTTAGGCCGAAGATTTTCGGCTTACCTTCTCGAACCGTGAATTGGTTCCGAGTCGCTTAACTCCAGATCGCTGTCGACGTGCATTCGCTCGCCCCATGTGGCCTTCAAGTACGACACCCTCCGCGTGGCTCGATCTTCATCCGCTAAAACAAGGAGTACCGTGAATAGGTGTGGTCGCTTTGGTCGTTTGACCGGAATGCAAAGCTAATTGACCATCTGCTTATTTACCTATCTGAGCGTTCTTCTGCCGTCTGAACACCACTCCGTTACCTTGCATCGCATTATCCGGCAGTGCACCTTCAAAGAAAAAGAAGAAAGGTTAAGAGAAAAGTGTATGGGTCGTCGTGGGCGTTGGATGCACTTTTTATTATTTGAGCTGGGGAAGCTTAGGATTTTACTTGAGGATAGATGTGGAGGTTTGAAGAGATGCCTGGGACTTGTAGATACAACTTGAATGATTGAAAATGTGAAGATGTAAAGTTAGAGATTCGGAGAGATGCCTGCGACTTGTAGATATAACTTGAATGATTGAAAATGTGGAGATGTGAAGTTAGAGATTCACATGAACAACGTTAGAGTCACATGAGACCTAATTGTCCACAAGAGTCTTGCTTCAGAAATTAAGTTAAAAGCTACCCCAGATACTAACCACGATCTGTCTCAATAATTTGCGCGTAAGTATCCTTCCTAGAGGACTTCTCCGAACTATTATCAGCAAAGTTAGCATTAGTCCCATCATATCGACCATCATCCTTGGTACGTCTTCTCTCATCATCCGGTCGCTGAGACCATCGATGCCTGGCTGTCTGAGAATTCCCAGACCCGCTCATCGAATCCCACGACTCCACACTGCTACTACGAATCCTCGTTTGTGCGTTTTCGTCCTCGTCCAAGCTCCTCAAATTCGGCGTCTCTGCGCAAGTACAAAGAACATATTAGCTTCAGTCAAACAGAAAGGAGACCAAGTTAGTTTCAGCAGTTTATGAAAAGACAGAGACAAACACACTGGAAAGAGATAAGAAAAGGCAGTCAGCGAAAGTGATCGACGGTATTAAAGCTGCACAATTACTGTGACGTTACAAAACACATCGACGCAAATTTTTCTCCGATTTTTCTACCTTCGATCGCACGATAGCTGGCCGGCGGTTCACAATGGATGCGAGTGCTGCCTACAGGAATTACTCTGTTCCCCTTTAATCCGCTACCTGGATATTCAGATACGTCAAATTAAGGACAAGTTACTCCTACAGTTATTCCCGTCTGATGAAAGAGGTAATGTGTGAAGGAAGAAAGAAAAACAGAAGAGAACAGAAACCTACCAGTGTCCAAGGACTTGGTCTCCCTAGACGGAATCAGTCTCCTCGGTTCCTGAGCCTCCGCCTTCGACTCGAATTCCCTTTTCCGCACAGCCACATTCGGCACGCTGCGTTTGTTCGACAATCTCGACAGCTCGCTCTTGTAAAGATTAGTGCGGTCTCCAGTCGGCTCATCATCGTCGCTCATCAAACGACCCGACTCGAACTGCTTAGCGCGTCTCGATACAATCTGCAGTCCTTGAGGAAGCGGCGAGAACTTGTCGTTCACCTTCTTCTCTGGTCCGGGAGAAGAAGGCAGAGAAGAGGCGCCGTTGTTCGCGTCCGACCGTCGATCTCCCGAGAAGAGAACTCCGGTACTCGCGATGTTCTCTTGTATCTTCGACAAGGTTCCTACAAAGTTATTGGATTTGCCGGCGCTTCTGTGCATCTGTTGCTGCTGCTGCTGCCTGTCGGGTAGCTCCTTCCAGTCGGATGTGTCTCGATGGTCATCGTAGACGGACGGAACGTACAGTCGGTCGCTCAACATCTGCTCGCGGGCGCGGTCTAGCGAGCGAGTTGCGTTGAAGGACTCGTCGAGCCGGTTGTTTCGAGGTTCTACCAAATATTCGATGTCCTCCGTCGAGTTAGCTGCGAACCTCTGCCCTCTGTCGGAGGGCTGACTCTTGTCCGAGGGCGCTTTTCCAGGAGCGCTTCTGCTTTGAGCGGATCTTGAACTCGAAGGGTGTCGTTGCTCCTGCTTCGGCTCGTTCGGTGGCCAGATCTGCCTCTGAAGCTTCTGCGGCCGCGCGTAAAATTCCCGCGGAATCGCAGTGGCAGAACTCTCGTTCCGAGGCTCAGACTTCTGATCGGGTAGAAACAACCCTATCGGGTGACTCGGTCTTCGTAGAAACTCTTCCTTCTGTTCGAAGCTTTTGCGAAGCCTCGTCATGATGACGGAGTCGTCGATGCCTGAGTTTCCGATGGTTGGATTACTGACGGACTCGTTTCTGCTTCCCTCGTTACCCAACAGCGCGCAAGCGGAATCGTACGTGGATTCGTTGGCGGCGACCAGCGACGAGTCCCTACGAGAGTCGATGCTGAACCTCGAATCGTGATCACAGGACCTAAGAGCGTCCGTGCTAGCGTAACTCGCGGAGTCAAAATTGTTTAACGTAGAGCTACCGGTACTTCCTTCGCTAGCGCGACGCAGAGTCACCCTCCTCGTGGCTGAACGGTAGATAGGCACCTGTGGTTCCGCTCGAGACATAGGGAATCCCGTCAGGCTCGAATATTGTTGCGGCTGAGATTGATAATACTGATGGTGATGAGAACGATGATGAGGGTAATGGTGCGAACGGTGTTCCTCCGTGTTGGATCTCACTGGTTCTCCGACTCGAACCCTCTCGTATATCGGATCCTTGATTCTGTCGTAAATCTGATCGCTGTTCGCTCTGGAATAAAGACTCTCGCAACGCGTTCGGTCACAGCAATCGTATTTGTCAGACTTCAGAGTGTCCGACAGCATCGACTTGTCGCAGGACTGCATGTCGGGCGAGCTGTCCGTGGACTGAAAAGAATTCCGCAACGGTAGCTTCTGGTGAACCGACTCGTACCGAGCAGCGATCTCCTGCAGAGGTTTGCGGTACGTCACGCCTTTGGACTGCGTCTGCAACTGAGACTGCGACCGTGACGTTCGGTCCTCGTTCATTCGCGTTTCTTTGGAGAACTCCGGTCGACAGAACACCTGCTCCCGAGTGGACAGGCAGTCGTCGATCGGCTGATCCGATTCTAAAGGCATCGAGTTAGTCGGTGAGCAAACCCAAGACTGCCTCGCCCTCGGCGACGACCCGGGGATCATGCTGATTGACCTGCGCTGCTTGTGGCTACTTCTTTCCGGCGACCGCAGCCGTGGTCGTTGATTCGTTTCAGGATTGTGAGCCGTCTCGCCAAAATATCTTTGCAGGATATCATCCTCTTTGGAAACGACCAGCAGACGGAGCCAAGGACCCGCCTGCTGAATGCGCTGGACAACCTTCGCGTACTGCTCGTCGCGTGTCGCCTTTCCGTCCACCGACACCAGCCGGTCTCCCGTGCGTAGTCCTGCTTCAGCTGCTGGCGAATTTGCTCGAACCTGCTTCACGAATATCGTGTCCATCGGCTCGTCGATTCTCGTTCGCTCGTTGTCCGGTAGCATCTGCAAAAACGAATCGAGTTTAGTCTATAATCTATGGTAATATTTGCTAGTAAATTGCAGGACTTACGCAACAGGACTCTGGCGGATAAACGATGAAATGACGAAGCGTGAAACCAAAACCATTCTCGCCACGACGCAGCAATAAAGTTCGAGGACCGCGAGGCGGAGAGTCGTCCCGACGAACGCTTCGAGGTCCAGTTCCGACTCCTGTGGAAACCGTGGTCGGCGCAGCTGGTGCAGGTGGCGGAGGCGAACCGCGTTCTGTCTGCAAGAAAAATCGCTCGTCGGTAATCGAGAAACTATCTAGATGACGCAAATTGAGAACGATAAAAAACCCGCATATAATTATCCTATATTATGCTCGTTTAAATATAAATATTGGCAGAACTTTTAAGAGGTGTACTAAAAACTTTTTCCCTTTTTTTAAATATTTATAAAATTTTCATCATCGAATCTTTAAATAAATTGCGTGAAAATAATTATCACTTGGCTCTATCGTTCTTACTTCGCATTTTATCTTCCGTCTGAAAAATATAAATGTAGTACAGTGAAAGAATAAATGGTAATTCTAAATAGGAAAGCGTACGAAACGGGTAATTGAAAAGAACTTGGAAACGAGATCGTCGATATCGTCGGTGGTTTCGGTTTCGGTTTCAGTTTCTTCTCTTCCAACTCGTTTCGCCTCGAAAGCGCGTTTTCCCAGTTTCGTTCACCAAAATAAACCGAATCGAAGTTTGGCACGACGACCGTTTGCTTTTACGTACCGTGTGCGCCTGTCCGATCAACCCTTGGGAATTATTTCGGTCCTCAGCCATTGTGCCGTCTCCTGAAAACAACCGATAATTTAATATACGTACACCGGTTGAATTTTCGAAGGATCTTACCCAGGTAGCACGTTTTTCAAAGCTAAGGTGTGACCATTGATATCTTATCGATATATGTTTAACGATGTAACAATATTAAGATACCGTTCAGAGGTTACTGAACTGGACATTAAAAAATGCAACATGTAGCAAAATTATTATTATAACTATTGCAAAATTATAAATATATACATTATGTACGTACACATATACACATTATTCTTGAAATAATTCTTGCAATAATTCACATTTTGTTAAGGTAGTTTTCCACATATCACGTTCCATTTTGTGATGAAAATTATCCATATGTCACTTGTGTCGAAACTGACCAGTTATCACCACCGATCGTAGCTTCACGATTATTTCAATCTATTTACAAGAAATTACGATGCCGTATCAAGTTCCCTCCTTTCTCGGTTACTCGCGAACCTACACCACGTTATATCGACGCGTTAACGCGCGATACGCACGCACGTGTATGCTACATCGGAAGCGAGAACCACCATTCTACTTTCTCTGTAATGCGACATACTTTCTTGCTATCATTTTTTTACCGATCAAAACGATATTCGAATCTTTTATTTCCTTCTCAGTTTTTCCATGTCTGCCAAAAAATATTTCACACACATCAGATTGCACTGAAAACATTATTGGAATAATACGATCGTTCGATAATTTGAAATAATATTGTTCGTTAATTTGGAATAAAACGATTGTTCGTTAATTTTAATCGCAATAGTGCATCGATTATCGATACTGATTCAACATAAAACTTCAGAGAATTTTATATTTACTGCCATCGACTTAACGATATTATCGATATCGATATCGATAGTCACACCTCCCAGTTGTGGCTGGCGTAATAACGAAAACCACACCGCTCGATATTCGTTACAAACAAATGTTCCAACATTGTCAATATTTTCCGCTCGCTTCCCTCGTAATCTTTCACCCTATGTGCGTAAAAAACAAGGAAATAAACAGTGAAGCAAATACGTTACAGTTTTCCCGATTGTACGGCTGAACGCGCTTGTAATTCTACGCATAATAGACTCTTTTCAAATGCGTATCTAAATATACGCGGCGCAGGTCTAGTATTCGTATCGCGGTTACCAAAATATCAGTTACTCTTAACCTTTTCCGTTTTCTCCGTTACACCTCCGTGAGCCTCGCGTTTTCCAACGATCTCATTTTTTAAAGTGAAATTTCTATGGGCGCGATTCGGCGGCAGAGCATTATGGCCGACTGTCATCCGAGCGTCACGAAAAGTACAAGCGAAAATTATAATAAGTAAATTTCTATCCATAATGAACGGAGAAATTTCACCGTTAACACGTGCCTTTACCACGCAAACGATTTTTCCTTTTCATATTGTTCATGAGGAAAAATTAATTTCACCAATTGATTACTGCGTCGAAAACATTTGATAGATTCGTGGTATCGATAAATCGTTGTTTAACTTAACGATAACAGAAATGCGATAATGGTACGATTAAAAGAAAAAGATAAAATTTTATCCGGGGTATGGCAGGGGCGGGGGGCCCCTGTGATACACCCCTGCGTATTCCGGCTGCGCGCCGCCTAATTGCTCAGTTTTAATCTTAACCCTTCATTGCACAATTTTCTAAATTCTGTAAAATACTTCTACTCTCAGAAGCGATAATAATAGCACACATATTTTCTCACAAATTTATCTACAGAATTGCATGTTTGAAATTCATATTATGGAATTTCATGTTTGACAAGTCACAAGCATGATACATTATTTTATTTTAATAACGGGTTAGTAATTTGCTAAATAATCTGCACTGAAATTGCTGTTTCATTCTGTGAAATACTCATTAAGAGTTACAGAACATCCTGTATGTTTTCCATCTGTTTGGACAACGTGCAAAACAAAAACTTAAGTCCCTATTGTAAATACTGTCATCATATCTGAGATAACGAACAAATCAAAACAAGAATGTATAAGTTGATACATGGTTTAATATTTTAGGAACGTAGGTGTATAAAATCAATTCCTGGAAGTCTCAAAAGGTTTGGAAGGTTTCAAAATCTTGAAGCTCTCAACAGGAAAACAGTTGCAAGCCAAATCGTCATAAGCTTATCCTTATGGCTCATTTTAATCAGACATGCATCTTCTAGATGTGTCTATCAATACATCCATGGTACAAGCTTTATCTATTGGACTAAGAACAATCTTCCAACTGGATATAGCCATTTCTTTCTTATGATGGAAAAGTAATCCTTAAAAAAGATTATATCAGATAACATAATTCAAGATATGATATACATTTCCTAAATAATATTCAACCAAATCATATATTTTCTTTTAGATCAAATTTTTTAAAAACCGATGCCAAGAAGTTAGTGCATGAAACTGAGGAATATTTACTGACTATCAAAGCAATTGATTATTGAAGACAAGTCTCGCGGCAGCGATGACAAATGGTAACACGAGTAGAGGAAGCCTTCTTGACCGCCACGAGTTCACGAGACAACTATGAAAACACATCAAAAGATTCGCAAAACTTTTGAGACTTCCAAGAAACTTTTGAGAGCTGAAACTTTCAAGATTTCCCGGCTCTCGAGACTTTTGGGATTTGAATAAAATTCGAAGTGTTTGAAAGCGGGCGGAAAGCTTGCAAAGCATTCGAATTGGCATCACTAGGTACACACCTCTGATAGGAAGCGTCGCGCATCGGGTGCTTGCAGCGCCTCCGTCGTCGCCGTTGGTCGTGTAACACCAATAAGTTGAATCGTTTCACGAATCTGCACTCGTTGATTTTTCTCGCACCGTGAAAAAGGTCGCTCACCAACGGCTTCGAGCGAGCGAATCGAGAGAAATAGCAGTCAATGCATATTTGGCAAAACACCGTTCGCAACGGATGTCGTTTCGCTGGCCGACGAGAGCCTCTTTCGAAGGCACCATCCTCTTCGATATTCCATTTTCCGAGCTATCCTTTTTACCAATGCGTGTCTCGACGAACGCATGACTCGGGGAACTGCAGACAATTCGTGCACACGACACGATGCGCGCATTGAATTTCTTCGTGCACCGACTACCACGTTCGGACAGCGGTCGTCCGTCTTCCGCAAGCACTTGTGTCAATCGAATCGACGCTTCGATTCGGCTGAGCGATAGGTTAACTCGAACACGTTCGACCGAGTCATCTTAATCGATCGCGCGCTTTAACAATTTCGTCCGATAGCACACGGTGTTCAATCACTTTAACTCGAAGATCTTCTCAGGGAACTGATACTTCACGGTACAACGTGATACGGATATGATACGATACGGCACGATACGACACGACACGATACGGTATAGTAATATGGCTACCTAACAGAATGGAACATAGGTATCGACGGTCCTTCACTTTCTAAGGGTAATCGGTGAAAGTCGAACAACAATATTCTTCCCCGTGGATCACAACGCTTTTCCGCGTTATCGAACGTTTTAATTTTCACCGATTGGAAAAGTGTCACGAAACGCCACTTTCGTGCCCGCCATTACTCCGAACGGTCTTCCTCTTTGCTCATATCCCTCCCTTCTTTCCTAGTCGTTCCTTTTCTTTCTAGCTAGGCCGATCCTCGTCCCCACTCCATTCGTTTACGCTCACTCTCTCCTTTTCAGCCTCGCGTCGGTGACTCCCCTAATCTCGCTGTCACTGCGTTTCCTTATTCGAATATACCTGTCATGACATCTACTGATTAATTGCGTAAGATCAACTCTAAGTGATCTCGAACGATGATAAAACTTTTTACGATATCGATACGGTTCTTATCGAACAGGTAGATGTCGTTGGAAACAAACATGGCTGCCTTTCATAGTTTAACAAATGAATGTTAATTTTTTGGCAAAGAAAATCATTTTACAAATAAATAACGAGGGAAAAACATTGTATATGGAAAAAAAATTTTAGTGCTTCAAGATTTTTTTAAAACTTGCTTGCATTTTAACCTGACGATCGATTTAAATTCCGTATAAATTCCCGCGCTGAGCGGCGCGAAAAGAAGAGTCAATTGAAGATACAAAATGAGTAGGTGAAAGGGAGGAATAAAAAACAATTGGTACTTGATAGTAAAGTAAATACTCTGTATTTGAAATAGATAAGAATATCGATATAAATTCTTATTTCCATCTGCAACGATTCCAGAGACACACATAAGCGAGCAGGTGGAAGATAAAATAAATCACAACCATAAGTACAATGTCCATCCAGAAGTTGGTCTCATCAAAGTCGTAACGCTGTAAAACTTCCAAGCCTTCGGTGATGCACGGCAGTCCCGGATCAATTGTTTTACAAGCTGTAAATATTAATTACTTACACTTATTCTTGTATGCAGTTTTGTTACTTACATATGTTGTGAACATCGTTCCACTGAAGAATGGTGAGTGCTTCGCTAGAATGCAACAACCACGAAATATATTTTACCCATTGAATGTATATCGGCAACGATCTGTAATGTGTAAGTGTTAGTAACTTTATTGTATGTTTTAGGGTCAAAATAAGTTTACGAGTACCCGAGCTTGACGAAGGGTCCCATGGTGATCATGAGAACGTAATCGAACGGTACCAAGTATGCCATGGCTAGTGGTACGTTGTCAAACACCGCTGAGAAGAAGCACCCTGAAACAGGTTATCATCTACACCCTGCTTTTAACTTCCCAAGCTTAGCTCTGCATAACTCTGTTTTTCACTTTAGTAATTAAAGAGAAGGTTTACCACATGCGGTTGATACGTTTATAGTGAATAGAAGTACAAGCAACGACAGTCCAAATGCCTCCACCGTTTCTCGCAGTCCAGCTAACCAATAAATTATCGTGGCGAACAACAATGGCTCCACTATCAGTCCAGGTATCTGAAAGGCAAGAGGATATCGTTTACATCAATCACCTATTTTCATTTACAACCTGATACCGATGAGATTTTACTAATTGAGGAAACTTGCCAGGGAAAGCAATCGAGCCACATAATAGAGATGCACCGAGTACATCCCAGCTCGGTACTCTCTTCGAAGAAGCGGCAGTTCTTGCGGTATCAAAGCTAACGTGGCGTACATCGGAAAGAAAGCGTTCTCGGATACCAAGATGAAGATCACTCCCTGGGTTGCTTGGATCCCTAGTTGGTCGAAGTTCACCGTTCCCACGAAGCAGAGTCCAGCAATTGTTGCGACGCTCTTGAGTTGAACAATGGAACAATTAAATTTAATACAGAATGTAAGTTTCTATTTTATTCTAATAATGATAAGTTACCTTCGCTTATTCGCTTACCACTTTTTGAATTATTCTAAACAACTGTACAGATGGATCTCTCAAGACCTGCAGGAAATCTCGGTACACCAACCAGTAAAGCCGCGAACAATAACGTGATCCTTTTCTTCTGCAGAAAAGCATGGATGAAACGGATGAACCAACAGGAATTTAGTGGGATACTTACGCAACGGCATTTGCGTCGAAAGTTAACCTCTTCGTGGACTAAAATGAAGAAACACAATTGAAGAGATACTGAAGATGAAGAGGAATGAAAATAACATTTACCTCGAAGGAATGCAGCTGCATTTCCCTTTGAAAAATATCATCGATCTCGTTGGAAGCACCGCTAGTTAAGAACACGTTGCATAATTTCCGCGTCGTTGTCTGACCGTCGTTGGAACCAGACACCACCGCGATGAGGAAATCGGCGGGGTTATAATTCCGTGGACACTCGTAACCTTGACTGAAGGTGAAATTAATCGGAGACTATAATTATAACGCTGGTGCACGTACCTCGCGAAAAATTCGATCGCCCCGTCGATCTGTCCAGCGAACACGACTCGTCCATCACCGATCAGTATTATTCGGTTGAAGGATCCAAATATGGCGGAGCTGGGCTGATGTATGGTGCACAGTACCGTTCTTCCTTTGGCCGCAAAACACTTCAGCTGTGTAACCAGACAATTCGCAGAATGAGAGTCCAACCCTGTCGTTGGTTCGTCCAAGAAGAGTATCTTCGGGTCCGTCAATAGCTGAAAAATTAAAATCCGTTTTATAAACGAAAGTAACAAAGAAATGAAACGAGAGGAAAGTATTACTTCCGTGGCAAAGGCCAACCTCTTCCGTTCGCCACCCGACAGCAATTTATCATCGATGCCATTTCCTATTCGCACATCGCGCCTGCCGCCTAAACCAACGTCATTCACCAAGCCATCAATGGTCGCCCGAATATTGCGTACTCTCGTATTTCCATCCAGCTTCATCCGAGCCTGAGAAGTAAAACTAAGTGAACTCTAATCTAACAAATAGAAATTTGAGAAGTTTACCATGAACCATAGGTGTTCGATTACAGTCATCGTTTCTACAAACATGTCTTCTTGGTGCATGTAACCGCTGTTCTGCATCATGTAGGAAGAGTCGACAGGGACGCCGTTCGCTCTTATGTCACCGCGGACGAAGAACTCGGCTGTGAAGGAGAAGGCAATCAGAATTAAGAATGTACAAGATTAAGTATGTATAGGTATACTTACGTCCGGTACGAAAAGCCAACGCCGCCATTAATGAACTTTTACCGGCACCGCTAGATTGGGAAAAGGAGATGAAATAACCTTATATATATGTTCATTTGATTTTGGATGTCGACATATAATTAGTCAACATATTGCATTGAGTTGAACCATATTGCACTGAAGATAGAATTAGTGAAGATGAAATTGATGAAGATAGAATTAATGTGGAGGTTATAGTATATTTCTGAGGGGTACCTGAAGGTGGGAGAACCTAAGCCTTCTTTAATTTTTTACAAATATAGAAAGTGTAGTTGTAAGTCATTGATACAGAGGTCTGAATATTTTTAAATTCTAATCATACAAATTCTCATATACAAATCTTGATTATACAAGTCCACAGAAATGTATAGAAATATTTTTGGTAATTGCAGATTCCTACTATGTCCATCTGAAGATTGTTGAACCTCACCTGGAGCCGATTATAGCCGTCAGGTCTCCAGCCTTCGCCACACCACGCACTGAAATTCGCAAAATTGTACATCGATTCAACTTTAATCTATGACCAGAATATTTAAAGGATCACGCACCGTTATCGATCAACTGTTTGCTCACGGTCTTCCGACCACGATCCAGCGCGAAGACCGACACGTCCCTCCACGAAAGAGTCACGTTCCCCGAATCGATAGATTTTTCCCTTGTAAGATTCATTTCCATGCTAATCGCATTATCGTTTGCCGAAGACATTTTGTTAAAGTCCTAAAGTCCTAAGTGTTAAAGTCCTTGCCTTTATCAAAGTTAGAGTCCTTGTCTTATGTGTTTGATGATCGATCTATTGGTTAACCTATTTTGGAATAATTATGTTATTTGAAAATTATTGGAAGAAAGTCACTAAACGTCAAGTCCTTTCGCGAACGCGATTGTTACTGAATACTATTTGCGCCTCTCGCCACTCACCCTGCCATACAACTCACCGCCATGGCTGCATATCTCCTGTTTCCCCTTGTTCCTTTCAGGTTACTGAACCTTAGGTGACACATCTCTGTTTCATAACTAACGTTCAACGCTTATTCTCAGTTCAAGATCAGTTGATGTAGAAATGTGGGAACTTGGGGTTTCAGGATTTGATGATGTGCAAGTTTGGGATTATGGGAAATTAGGATTTGTAAATTTAGGAATTTGAAAGTTTGGATACTGACAAAATTAGGGTTTGTAAATTTAGAAATTAGGGAGATTGGGGTCCTGAAAGTTTAGGACCTGGATATTTGAGAATTTTGGAATTTAGGGTTTGTCAATTTTGGAAGTATAGAATTCTGAGAGATTAGGGTTTGTAAATTTAAAAATTTCTGAGTGTATAAATTTTGAAATCTAGATCTTGCAGTGTATAAGTTTAGAAGTCCCAAGATTTACAAGTTTAAGCCACAGAAATGTACAAATATGTGAGTGTATAAATTTTGAAATCTAGATCTTCCAATTTACAAAATTTGGAAGTGCCAAGATTTATAAATTAAAGACAGAAATTTGCAAATTTATAAATTATAGATCTTGCAATATAGGACTTGAAAATGTACAAATTTGAAAACTTAGAAATTTGAGAATTTAAGACTTAAAGATTCGTATTTCCCATAAAAAACCTGACCAGCTTCGAACCATCACTCGAGAAACAAAAGACGCAAACGCGTAGGTCGAAGCCACTGGATTAGACATTACCGTAATCGAAGACGGAAACCCTATATACGCTTGGGACAAGGATTTACGTCATACAAATTTCTCGTTGACCGCCGCACCGCATCGTCGATACCTTTTCTTCCTCATAATTCTCTCGCATACATTTCCCAAGGAGAAACAGTCAAACGTATCCACAAATTGCAAGTGATATTTTACCACCGACTATTTTAATCTGCACTGTACAATTTTTATTGGTTTCATTTAACATTTAGCAACATCGATGAGAAAAACGTATCTGTGTTTATTTTCTTTTCTTTTCAATATGCGAGTGTAACGCGGTCGCACGGTATAAGTGACAACCGGTTTGTCAATGATATCGAATAGTCTATAGGAACGATTGTTGAAGGTGTACGCGTACACATAGCTACTGTATGTCATCTGCAAATGCACCGAGACAGGAAATACTGAGGTTATCCTCTTGTTCTCTTTTCTTTACGGTACTCTGTGGTGAATGCGGCTAGAAACAAGCGAAGGATTTTTGTGACTGCTCTTGAGTTAAAAATAGTGGAGAATTAGTATGTTAAGACATATGTGTACTTATGTGTCTGGCAGAAAATAATTTTTGGAAGATTTTGATAGTATGTAATGGAGGCTGAATGAGTTTGTTTCAAATGTCTCTTTCTTGTGAAATTATGGGAATTGTGTGTATTAATAATATTAATGATTTGTATCATCATATACATTAATAAAATTAATAATATATACCATGATGTACATTAATAAAATTAATAATATATACCATGATGTACATTAACAACATTATTAATATATACCATGATGTATATTAATAAAATTAGTAATGTATACTATGATGTACATTAATAAAATTAATAATATATACCACCATATACATTAATAAAACTAATAATATATACCATGATGTATATTAATAAAATTAATAATATATACCATGATATACATTAATAAAATTAATAATATATTAGACTATTCACCAGACTATTCACCACATGAATATAAACATACATCTAATATATAATTTTTTCTTCAGCACTTGAATAATAATTACACTAACTGAAAACGAGTAATCGGGATTTATATGCAGGAGATTCTCACAGGTACTAACAGAAGTCTAGAATCGATTGCATAAATCACCGTTTAATCGAATTATCGTACACATAGAAAGGTTGAGTATATTCGATACGTGGATAAAGCTTGAACTGTAAATATACGAAAAAGATACGATATTCGTTGATCGGTGATCGGCAATCGGAAAGGGCTGGTTGTGCGCGATCTTCGATTCCGTCGAGACGCCGTCAAGGCTCTTTCATCGCTGTTTCGAGTTACGCTGAGTTCTCCAGAGCAGAGCGAGAAACGCCAGGAAACGAAAGGCGACGATTAAGGAGAAAAGACAAATTATGTCTGCATAAAAATGTTCCTGAAATAAAAACAAGTTATCTTAGAAGATTGTCTTAGATGATTGTCTTAGATGATTATCTTAGAAGATTATCTCAGATGATTATCTTAGAAGATTATCTTACAAGATTCTCTTAGAACATTATCTTAGAAAATTATCTTACAAGATTCTCTTAGAACATTATCTTAGAAGATTATCTTAGAGGATTATATTAGAAGATTATCTCAGAAGATTATGTTAGAAGATTATCTTAGAAAATTATCTCAGAAGATTATCTTACAAGATTATCTTAGAAAATTTTTAAATTAAGAAATAAGGTAAAAGGTTCTGAAAAGAACAAACCTCCTTAAAATTAAACATTTGCAAGACCATCCGTCCAGTCTTGGGGCAAGTGGCGTTGCTTCTTGTACACGCAATGAACTCCACTTCTGACCACTGGTTGATGAGAAGAGCTTCGTTGCCGTAGCGAAACCAAGACAAATAGGAAAACCATTCGAAATAGAACGGAACAGATCTGTGACACACACGCGTGCATATTGCGTATAAAAGGTGCAAATACACCCGGATACCTTTTACCTCGAACGTTTACCCTTACGCTGTGTTCAAAAAGAAGCCGCCGAACAATAGAAACGGTATTATCACAGGAGGTCCAACGGATAACGCCATCGACAAGTTGTTGCTGACGCAGGATATCAGGTAGCCTGCAAATAAATTAGCAAGTTAATATTTTGTTTTAAATAAGGTGGGATTTTATTTGAGAGAACTCTGGTTTTCCTTGGGGAAAAATTTGGAAGTTAATTTGTATGTTTAGAGATTTGGGGTATTGGGTGTTTGGGAATGTGGAAATTTAGGGATTTTGTTATTTGGAGATTTAGGAATTTGGGGAGTAGGAAATTTCCACAAATTCCCAGATTTAAAATTCCAAATTCTCCAAATTCCCCATCTCTAAAATTCCAAGTTCCCCAAATTCCCCACTTCCAAAATCCCAAGTTCCCCAAATTTCCAACCTCTAAAACCCCAAGTTCCCCAAATTCCCCCATCTCTAAAATCCCAAGTTTCCCAAATTCTCCATCTCCTAAATCCCAAGTTCCCCAAATTCCCCATCTCTAAAATTCCAAGTTCCCCAAATTCCCCATCTCTAAAATTCCAAGTTTCCCAAATTCCCCATCTCCTAAATCCCAAGTTCCCCAAATTCCCCATCTCTAAAATCCCAATTCCCCAAATTCCCCACCTCTAAAATCCCAAATTCCTCATAACCCAGTTACCAAATTTTTCCTAGGGAAACCAGATGTACTACCAATTGCTTACCAAAAGAGGTGGAAACGTTTGCTACAAGAGCAACAATACCAGCGGCGACGAAAAAGTGATCGATACCAGGGTACAATCCAATCATCGGATAAGCGACGACGGTGAACAGCAACGGTACAGCTACGAAGATCGGTGCTTCCGCCAGCGTTTTACACAAGAAGTAGATGTCGGTGCGATACATACCGTTCCGATGTTCGCGTAAGAATATCGGCAGTTCTGCACAGAAGACCTAAAAAGTAAAACATCGACTCAGTGATGATCTTTTTATCTTCATCATTATGCAGTACAATCCTTACATTGATAACAGCGAAAACGTTCTGAAAGGTCATGTTCGTCAAAAAAATGAACAGAGCACCGTTGATGTTCATAACTCCGTCCTGATCGAGCTGCTGGTTAAAATAAACGACTCCGATGAGCAGGGAGACCATCTACAACAAACAATTATTTACAATTCTCGAAGATAACTATTTTATTAAGGTTATGACTGTTTATTGAGACACCTACGACTGTCTGCAGCAAGCGGACTTTAACCAAGATCGGTTCCTTGATCACGGATAACCAAGATCTCCAGAGGACTGCCCGGAACTGTTCGCACCAGCTGGCTTTGTATGGTGATCGACTCTCGGACTTGGAGTTTTTTAGTGAATCTTCAAACTGGCCGTCTACTGACTCTGCTTCGAGGGCGATCTTCATACCCTGATCGCTTCTTCGGAACGCGTCGCATACTGTGTTTATCGCGTGGCGGCAGGACGCTTCTTCGCCTGGGACTACTGCTAACATTTGGACGAAGTAGTCGGCCGGGTTGTAGTTGCTGGGGCACGCGGCGCCGAGTCTGGAAAGGGTTGATCAATGAGTACATGAGGAATCTTGCATATTGGTGTATATATGGTACATATGGTATATATTACTATATGCATGTACATATGGCACATATTACTATATGTATGTATGCACGTATAGTATATATTACTGTATACATGTATGTATAGTATATATTACTATATGTATGTAAATATACTATATATTGCTATATGTATGTACATATTGTTACTACTACATGCAGTATATTAGATGTCCTTACGATTCGAAAAAAGTGCAAGCTTGCGACGACGTGCCCATGAACGCAACTCTTCCCTCCGCCATCAGCAGGATTTTATCGAACAGGGCGAACAACTCGGACGAGGGTTGATGCAACGTCGCGACGATGGTCTTGCCACGTGCTGCAAGTTCACGTATTTAATTACGTTCTATTTTGCATATCTGCAAATGATGGAGTCAGCGAATCTTTTCAAGGGTCTGTACCCGCTAGTGCCTTCAATACGGAGACCACCTGATGCGCCATGAAGGAATCAAGACCGGAAGTGGGTTCGTCACAGAACATCAATGGCGGATCGGTTAAAACCTCTGAAGCGAAGGACAGCCTCTTCATTTCTCCTCCTGAGAGTCCTTTAATGCGTCCTGGTTGACCGATCACTGTATTTCTACACTTGGTCAACGCCAGCTAACCAAAATAAGAATATATGAATATACAGACACTATACAGTACAAAACTTTTAAGAAGAGTCAAGCACTTTGAAAATCTGTGAATTGTACAATTTACCGTGGTTTACAATTTGATCAGTAACCAACCTCGTTGATCACTCGATTCACTCGATCAATTCGCTGTTCCATAGGAATATGTCGGTCCATTCGAACCATAGCCTGGAATAGTAGATGTTCCTTGACGGTTAGAGTACCAACAAATAGGTCGTCCTGTTGGACGTATGCGGTCCTTGAGGTTAGTATCGTGGAGGAGACTCTTTTGCCGTTTGCAGCCATCACTCCGGAGACAGTTACTCCACGACCTGAGCGAAACGTTAGGGCGTTTAGTAACGTTGTTTTACCGGCTCCTGAGGATCCCATGATCACTAGTAATTCTCCTGGGTAGGCTACTCCACATACTGCAATAAATATATTAATTAATAATTTGCTATTAACTAAGTTATTAAATTAATTATCTTAGAGAGGAAATACAAAACAATGTAATGTACAATATATTAGAATATATAATATATTCAATATATTGTATACAATATATAAACACATGTATATACAATATGTTACATATATAATAATATTGTTTATGAGGTACACAATATATACTATTGTATACAATATATACATGAGGACCAATATATTCAATATATAAATATATTGTAACATATATACATACAATATATTACATATAAAATAATATTATTTATGAAGACCAAAGATTTTGAAACTCATGTTCAAACATTATATGGTGTAAGACCTAAGTATCTGACAATTTATAAATGCATTCAAACTTGAAGAACAAGCTTGAAGACACAATGGTTTATTGCATTGTCTTACATATAAAATAATATTATTTATGAAGACTTGATTTTGAAAATCATATCTAAACATTATGTGATATAAAACCTAAGTATCTACTAACTTAGGAATGCATTCAAACTTGAAGAACAAACTTGAAGACACAATGGTTTATTGCATTGTCTTGTGTAACCCCTGTACACTAATGCACTTGACCAAGTCAAAGCTGACCTTGTCAAGTCAGGCTTACCATCTTTCAACAGATGTCTTTGTTCGACCGGTCTCTTTCCCTTGAATAAGCCATTCCACGTTCTTTCGTTCTTTCTAACAACGTACACGTTCAAATCACTCCAGGTATACGTAATCGATTCGTTTTCCGTATTTCCAATACTGCGGTTCGATGCGTGTGCTGTCACTAACGGAGTTACTGTTTCACCTAACATGGGCTTCAGATTAAACCACGTTTTCGAACTCGTTCCTTCCTAACAAACGTTGCAGCAAATTATTTATAAAACTTGTTAAACGGTGCGTTTAGTTTTTGGGGGGTTGAACATAATTTGGGTCAATTTGGTCAAATTTGGAAACTTTTATGTTGACAGATTTCAGATTTTACAATTTGCAAATTTGACAAAAGGTGCATTATTTAGTATTTGAGGGGTTGAACATAATTTGACCTATTTGCTCAGTTGATCAAATTTGAAAATTTCAACATTGACAGATTTCAGGTTTTACAATTTGCAAATTTGACAAAAGGTGCATTATTTAGTATTTGAGGGGTTGAACATAATTTGACCTATTTGCTCAGTTGATCAAATTTGAAAATTTCAACATTAACAGATTTCAGATTTGACAATTTGCAAATTTAACAATTTGAAAGTTTATAAAGTTGGAAATTGAAAACATGTTTATTTATCTAATCCTGAACCGGGCGTAACCGAGCACGCTTTGCGTAACGTCCCCATCGCAGAATCGTGCACCTTTATCGCGTAATTACAATAAATTTTCCTCCGCGACGTGATTCGCAGCGAAAAGCCATAAAAGAATAAAACGCACAGTGCAAGATTACGCGTCACTGTTTAATCTCTCCACTGCTTCCAATTTTCAACTTTACATTATTTTTACAAGATCTATAATCTTACCGATGAGATCGCATCGTACGAGACCGTTCGTTCATTATTCCCGATAGACACTTTGGAAATTAAGGGTTCGGTTTCTTCCGTAGCCGTCATCTTCTACTTCAGTGTTCGAAAATTACATAAAGTCTTCGATCGGAAAATCGACCTTACTCTTCACTTTTACATGTTTTTATAAAATAACTATAATTTAAACCGATTGAAACTAACGAAAGGTAACGATACGAGTGCACCTTCCCGATTGAGGTGTCTTACGGGAGCTAGCCGCAAACCAAGTACACAACATTCTCGGATTGCTCGTGTCTCTCCTCTCCCACCGTCCGTCACTCCAACTTATGTAATGCGACTCCGCTGATCCGCGAGCTTACCGGACGGCCAATAACGGAATAAGAGAATTCACGTTACGACCTTCGTGTTTGTAATTACGAGATAATCACCGTCGCATCCCTTCTTCGATTTCAAATTACCATACTCGACGGCCACGATTATTTAAAACCTCTCTGTTCTCCCTGACGCCGTGGTAGCGAGCGAGCACGCTACTACGACGTTTTTCTTATGGGGCTAATGAAAACAACACGATGAAGAATAACTTCGTTTATTGTTATCGATACAATGGTACTCGGGGTTCTGACATTTGAACGATTCTCTCATCCGAACCATCGAACAAACATCCAGCCTTGAATGGAAAAATTACACGGACTGCTCGAATGACACAGCCACGATATTGCGGCGATAATTTGATACGATTATAAGCGGCATGTCACGAAGCGTTCCTTTCGAACGAGCCTTTTATTTTTGGAAAATTCCCCGTGCGATATCGGCCAATGATATGTACTGTATACGTATTCCGCTTTCCGTCTGATCAAAGGGACAGAGAGGATTTGGGAAGATTTTCGTGTACGAACAAACGGATCGACCCCGGGAGGGTCGGACGGGCAGGCAGATGCGTGCGTGTGCGCTCGCAAAGGGAGATTGGAAAGAAAAATAAAGATGGAAATAATGTACCCGTGTATGTACGCGCTGGCTAACGTGTGCGCCAACGAGAAAGGCAACTGGCGGTGAACAACGATAAATCACCTTCGCAGATCACTCTTTCTCTTCTGTCTCTTCTTTTATCGCCAAGCATCCTATTATCAACGAGGCGCGAGACCTCGATCGTTCTCCTCCGTTGCGCCCTCTACTTCTGCTCTTCAGTATTCTCTATGAGCATACTCCTTCACGTTGTTTTATTGTTCTTCGACATGTTGTGGGACGCCCAGTTTAACGAAGTTTTCCACGAATTACACAGAGCCTCGTCAAATTTGCTTCTAAAATGCTTTTGTGCCTCGCTTTCGGACATCTCGAGCACCTAAAACAATTCATTCATTAATATCTAAAGATACGACTACTCTATAACTAAATACAGTATTCTCTTCGTAAACGTTAAAAGTTTCAGTCCCTCCTTGTCTTTTGTGTTGCTGTCTTTTTCTGTGTTCGGCTTACTACAAAGAATGTAGTACCTATTCTATAAATGTTACAATCGGGACTCGAAGTTTTAACATTTACGAAGAGAATACTGTACTATAATATAAATAAATATACCAAGGTGTCCCTTAAATAGTTGAGATCCTTTTCCGAGGATAATTCCGGCAGACCCGTCGATATCATCATAGCGAACAGAGACAATATTAAACCTCCGTGCTGCCGTAAAACAAGAAAGGCTTGCTCGCAATGGCTCTGAAACCGTTGAAATTCGACAGCTTGTCCTTTTTTCGTCTGGCCCTTGTTTATCACATGCACAAAGTCATTGGTCAAGACGAAAGGCACACGTTCGCGTCTGAATCCAAATTTCTCCTTAAAATGTCCGAGTATGTGACCGAAGTCAACGTGAAACAGTTGACCAGTTTTCTTCACCATTATATTGTCCGAATGCCTATCCGCAATCCCGAGCACGTACGTGGCCACGCAATAACCCGCGCAACTTAGAGTAAATTCCTCGATAGCTCTATTCAACGCTGCCTCGGTATGATTATGATCTTTCAGCCAAGCGAGCAAAGAGCCTCGTCTATGAAGATTAACCAGTAGAAAGGAAATGATGAAAACAGAGAGAAAAACTTTTCGATGTATTATAACAGCTGCAATTTTTCCCTTTCTTTTCATTATTATTATTACTTTGTTTCCCCTAAATTTGTTGTTTTCTTTAAACGTACCTAAAGGCGGCTGTCGCAGAGAACGTGCCTTTCTCTTTCTGTATGTTCGCAATCGTTTCCGCGTTCAGAACCACTTCGATCATACCGACTCTGTTCTCCGTCGATATACAACCGTAGGGATTCATCCGCAGGTCCAGACCTTCTCTCTTCCACAGTTTATCCATGATCCGCAACATTTGCAACGTGAGCATGTCCTGTCTCAAGTCGTCACCGTGTTTGAGTATCAAGTAAACGTCGTCGCCGAATGGATCTGAATTTTCGAAAACGAGCCATAGTGGCCGCATTTTGCTGTCCATTACTCGACACTTCTCGATTCTGTAAACAACGGTATATGAATAACAATCCGAACCACTGTAATGTAATAATCATTCCTAAACTTACTTGATACGTTTCCATCGAAAGCTAGGATCCAAGGGGTTCAAAACATTCGAGAGCGCCTCTTGGCAATGAGGCTCTTGAATAAACTCTTGAAACCCTTGCAAAGCGGCTTTGCGATCTTTCCGCTGTTTGATCTGTTCGGAAGCGCATTTCAATTTACCTAGGCACTCCATTTGCTTAAACAACGATCGCATGTGCTGCTGACTTCCCCTACAGTAGGCTTCTAATATTAAGCCGAAGCGAACGGATACGGCGCCCACTTGCATCTCAGATCTAATGAAATACCAACTATTGTACGAACATCGTAAAGACGAAAAGCATGATAAAATATGGTGTTGTTACGATACTCGTTGCCACTCGATATACTGAAAAAGCTACCAGGCGAAAGTTAAGAAACAAAGTAACAATGATATCTGCATCTCGAAGGAGTGTCCTCCGAGTTGTACGAACCTAAGATGCCAGAATAGAAAATGACCGATTCTCCGGTTGTTCAGCGCGCGTCTAAGCAGGAACTCCGTCAGTTCACAGGACAAGTAATTCTCGTGTTTTAACGCTTGCACCAGTTGCAATAAATATAAGCTCAAGTCTTCGTCGGTGACGTCCATTAAACAACGCACGGCGAAACTTCGAACGTTCTGATCGGCGTAAGCGTAGTCCAATAATTCTAGAGCCTTTTCGACCGGTAACTTTGGCCACTGCTGTACCAATGCGGTAGCTTCAGCCACTTCCCTGTTCAGAATTAAAAAATAATTAGATATCTTGATAATTAATAATATGTAATATATTAATATTCTTTACCTGTGATCATTCCACTCCACGCAGTGCAATAATTTAGCCAACAGCGTAGGGATCTCATGTAGACAGTGGTGTCTCAACGTCCACATTATCTTTCGTTCCTGCTCGTGGAGCTCGTGCAACGGGTCCCTGTCTGCCAGCAGCCTAAGTTGTTCCAACTGCTGAAGCTTACCAACATCCGACTCTTGATCGGGTTCTTCCTGAATCGAACGTTCAGAGGAGGATTCCCGTAACTTCCTCGCGTACTCCACCATCTTCTCCGGGGTTGGATAAAGAACGGATTTCTCCTTTCCATAACTAACCAAAGTATCAAAGAAGAAGAGCAGCAAGACCGAAAAAAGAAAGAGGAAACAAAACAGAGAAAATATAATAAGATTTAAAATTACCGAGCAAGCTGTTTTAAGGACTACTTACTTTGGAAACGTTAACATCAGAGCTGCCGCTCTGTCTATGTGAGGATTCGACACTACAGTTCCGAGAGGATGAAGAAGATCGTCGTTCTGCATATCCTCGGCGTACGTCCATGTGTAAAGAGTCATTGCGCCCGTCTTTAATTGAGACTTAAAATCGTATATTGTTGTATTAGCCCAGCATAGTGGATTTATAAAAAACTCTTGTTTGGTGTCCCTAACTAATCTACGACTCTTCAGTCCTTTCGCGGTTTTGCTAATTTCATAGAGAACAAAACACAGCCTTGCCATCCGCGGTATGTCTCGCACTTTAATGTCGAACCTCAGGGTCTCTTCCCATTCACAACTACCGTCGGCGTTCACCACCGTCTCTTTTGTCTTTTGACTTTCACACAGAGATTTGCCGCCGTGAAAAAGTCCAGCTTGGAGACCGATCTACAATTACCAAATAAATTAATGAAGAGGAGCTTCTATTATAAATATAGAATTTTAAATATATAATATATAAATATTAAATATACCTCTACGGTACGATGAGCAGCGTCGCAATTCAATCTTGATATTTCATTCACGGTAAATACAAACGGTTCCTCGATCTTCCAAGCTGATACGTGTTTACCTTTCTTCCGGAGCGTCAACGTGGAAAAAGAAGGCCTTGTACGTTGCAACGCATCCGCTTCTGCATTTTCTACCATGTTCTCCTGATCAACGGAGACACTATCTCTGCTTAAAGTGACTAACGTAGGAATAATATCTTTCGCTAGACAATCTTGAATATAACTAAACTGTATTAAAGGATAATCTCCTATTAAATATTCCTCTTGTCCGCAAACCTTCAACGTAAAATCGTTTGGATGTCCCCTAGACATCAGAGTGTTGGCGCGTTTATTTAAAATTGTTACCAGTAACTGATATGGGGTCGTGGTGTGTGATGTTTGAAACGTGAAGGCCGTCTGAAATTATAATAATCAAATTTTAGTTTAATTTTTAATTAAAAACATTGTGTTCTTTTTGCCACGCATATTTTTTATTTAACAAAAATTTAAACTTAAATTCCCCATATTAAATTGTACCTATGGAGATTTTATTTTAAAAACACTGTCATTTCCCGCCATTTCCTCTTTCTCCGTCCCCCTCTAACGGTCACTCTTTGTGGAGAAAATGGCACAGAGGACGAAAAGAGAGGAAGTAAAAAGGAAAGGACAAAATAGAATGGAGGGGGAATCATCCAACAAAGATGTCTACGGCTTATATGTACAACACAGTTCGCTGAGTAACGGTCAAAATTAGATCGATTTCCAAAGATCGTTGTTTTCATACTTCAATTCTTCGAAAAACAAAGTCCTGGAATATGTCGACAAGTACGTTAACCGACGAGGAGAACGAAGAATATGTCACAGAAAATCCGGAAGGAATTAACAACCGTTCCTCGGCCTTATTAAAAACTGAAAATGAAAAATACCGGCAGGAAATTCATAATTTAAAACGAAAACTCGAACTGAACGAGACAATGCTGCGAGAGGTTCAAGAAGCAAACGAAATGCTTGAACGCACCCTTGATCAACGTGTCTTAGAAAAAGATAAAATTATTTCCACGATAGAAGAAAAGTAAATTATTTTGTTTACGTTGCTAACCTTTCCTTACGCCTCTTTGAACTTTTCTTTTCCTTTTTAGACATCGCGCGACTGTGCACGATTATGAACGCACGATTTCCGATCTTGAAACGACAATAACGAAACAAACGACCGAAATAGAAGAACTCAAACAACACTTGAATCAGAAAGAAGCCGAACCCCTAACGACCACTACCGATCAGATTTTAAATGCATCGTTCGAAGCTGCCAATGCTTCCTTAAACGATCAAATCAATGAACTTTTATCGATCATTCAAGAAGAAAGGAAACAGTACAAATGCGCTGAAGACGCGATCGAAAAATTGCAAAATCGGTGCGACGAACTTGAAAGTTATTCTAATGTAAAAAACAGATTAACGCTATTGTTTAAAGTAAAACTATATGAAAGGTACAACTGTCAACTGTCTTTTTTTATCAACAGAATATGAAAGAACGATTAGACGAGAAAACTAGAGCGTTAGACGATGCACGTGCAGAACTTGCTTTGAGGCATACGGAAACAGCAGCCTTAGAAGCGATTCCTACGCGCGACGCGTGTAAAGGCAAGTACATAGTGATTACAATCGACTACGTTCAATTATAAAGTCAACGTTTAAATTTCAGGTAATTCACTGTTTGCCGAAGTGGACGATCGTCGGCGAAATGTGACAGACAAAATGAACGCGTTACGAGAGAAATATACGGAAATAAAACGTGTATGTAAATCTCAAGCTACAGAGATCAAAATGCTGAGAGCAGAACGTGCTGCAGCCTACAGAAAGTGGGAAAACGATGCGGATCAGGTATCGGCTGTAAACGATGAATTGATTCAAAAATACAAGAACAGAATATCGGACCTTGAGAGCAAATTGAAATTGGAAATCAAGAAGAACGACGATACGAAAAAAGAGGACAGTGGCGACGTAGTATCCCTCCAGTAAGACTAGTTTAGATTATTAGAACTTGTCCATATCTTTTTCTACTCGTTATCCTTATCTTGCGATCGCAGATACTTTCAGACTCTGATGTACACTAAAAACAAAGAAATGGATCAGCTGAGAGTAAAAATTGAAGATCTTTCTACAAAGATGTTGGTGCAAGAAGAAACAAAAATGAACACTATCAAACAGTTGCAGTATTGGCGGCATAAAGCGACTACTTTAGAGGTGATTATTGTCGTTCGTTATTTTTGCGGACATAAAAGTAATCTCGCTAATCGTTCCATTCACAGGCTCAAGTTGCTGCTCTACAAGCTGAGGCGAAATCGGACGTCACAAATGATGCAGATTGTACAATTTCAAATGAATAAAATCTCCCGCCTATAATCATAGCGACGAATAACAAATATAAATTCGTCACAAAGAGATTAAACTATTTATTATTAGGAAGCAAACATCTGTTTGGTAGTTATTGAAAGATAACGAAAGATCTAGTTCTAATAAATCTGTGGAAATTGTGTTGTTTATCGAGTATTGAATATCATATTTTTGTAAAATCTATGAGTATTGTTACAAGCATTTTATAAATACTGTTATGATAATAAAAGTATTAGCCTTCTTACCTTGGTGTTTTCAAATTTAGTGACAAGGACGATATTCCCATCTTTTAACCGACATTCAATATTTTTTGGTACATTGGCAGTTGGAGCTAATCGTGTAGGAAACTGATAACGTACTTTCTCCATCCAAGACTTTTTTTGCCTTGCCATTGCAACTTCATCTCCTAAGACACGCATTTTCCACCTAAAGTCATTCACTTCAGAATTTTTTAATGCCGCGAATTCGTGTAAACCTTTCCCAATGAGAAGACCAATTTGGGAATCTAAGTTTCTATCACTTTTGACACCTTCACGTTCTATAACTTTAAACACGGAACAAAATGGTTTTATATCGCACAGGCGTCTAGTTTCATCTCGTAGTTCTTCTGCTTCGGCGTTAGAATTAATGCATGAAAATACATAGGACGGAGCATCTTTTAACGTGCCATGAAGAGGATACTTGCTGGCTTCGTCCCACAAATCCTGCATGAAAATACACAACATTATTGATCGTTCAGATCCATTCTGACAGCAACGAAACAACATTAATCTATCATATTTTATCAGACATTACTCACCTCTTTTATTTCAGCCAAAGTAATATTTCGGTTAGTTTCAAATGGTATAACGACCCCATTTGGCATCAAACAGGTCAGTTCAACGACTTCTGTGGGTGACTTTGCCCAAAAATTGTAAGTGTATGCGCTTGGTATGTGTACCATGATGTCAGATGTTTCGGATAGTACGTGAAGAAATTCAATGAAATACGAAGAAAAATAGCTCGGATATAGTTAATTTGAGAAAGAAAAGCGAAGTGTACCGTTTAAGTCGCATCGCGACCAGAGATATCTTTCTTCCTTCGAGCAAAGTGTCCCCATCCGAATGGGACAAAAAGTCGCATCATAAAGAAAACGGTCACACGGTAAACGTTTCTATTTTATGAACTTTTTTCCCCTCATTTTTATATTCGTACCTACACATATGTATATATATCTTTATATATACATATATATGTAAATGTATATATATACAGATATACAATTTCAAATTTTATTCGAATCTTGATTTTATTCGCTTTCAAATTCAGGCGAACTAGTAAACTTGCATGGTTACTCGTGTATCGGCATTATCGATTGAAGTAAAAAAATGATACATCCTCGTCTACTGTTTACTTCAAAGCAAAGCAAAACTTTGTTTCACTCGAATCACGAATGAAAACTGCTTGCCTCTGTTTGCGATTACAGGCAGTAGTCGGCCATTATTTCTACAAATGCATTCTACCTATACTCTATCTGTATATACGCATACAGATATACATGATGCGCGTATGAACTGACAAATTAGTCTGTTTTTCTATTGGATGACATACCGATCGAACTGTTTGATACAATTGTTGACTGTTTCTCATCATTCAAAGTATGTATCCGAAGTATATTCAATTTACCAAGCAGCACCTATCTGCAACTATACAATGATCATTTAAAACATTTATCACATCGTAATTCTAATGTAGAATATAAAAATATACTGTACCTCGTGAGAGAAAATTTAACTAAACTATTTGCGCAGCGTGACAGCTAGGGAAATTTTCAACCACGTGATGTCTCTCTATATTCTGTTTTTACCTTCATGGTTATAGATATGCTAGGTAAAAATAAATGAACAGCGGGAACTGATGACATCGTAAACATGAGCGCTGTAAATACTATTATATCCAATTTCTGTATTATATTTATTAAATATATGAATATAGAACAAATACTTCTTCTAATGAATGAAATATGCTACAATCAAACAAAATTAGAAATCATGAAACTATATAAGCTCTAAGACTATATTTTTGACATCGTGATCGCCGCAATGTGCATGCGCGTTGTCATGGACTATGTTATACGTAGAACTGAAAGTGTGAACATGCGCAGAAAGAATCTGGTTGCGTACAGCATGACATTTTTTGAATTTTAAATAGAAAGAAAATATCCCTATATTTCGCAGTTTCTGGCGTTGAATTATCGAGTTGTTTCGAGTACACAAGCCAATCAAACTTGGTTATATGATTTATATATAGTATTTTTTTCCATCTATATTTTGTCCAGCCTGTTATTTCTACAGTACTTCGAAATTACAAGAAATGCACAAGAACTTTCTGTAATATATCGATCGATTCTCGAGATAGCGAAATTGCGACGTTGATTTCGTGTGTGCGATGCATTCTTATCAGTAATTGCTTATAATTATTGATTGTTTAAACATAAAGAATTATGCAATCTGGTAATTATCCTACTTTCTATCATTTTGCTTGTTAAATTTTCAGGTGTTTATAAGCAGTGTTTATTCGATAACCTCTTTGTTGATCAGTTTTTTGTATTGAGATATCCTATAACGGGTGAAGTTTACATGAAATTGATTTAAGAGGAATATTACGAAAAATGTTGATGTGTTCCTAACGACGTTCGGTGAACGTATCGTTTACATGCATGGTAAATGACAGCGCGTGTCTGTTTATGTCTGTCCTATTAACGGTAACTCCAACTTAACGATCTAGGTATACAACTTAAATTTTTGTACAAGTTTAACACGTCTATAAACGTATACGATTAACTTATGTTTAAAAGAACAAAATGCAGTCAAATTTCAAATATTTAATTCTATTATTTTGCTTTATTTATAGGTGGTGGTAGTGCTACGAATAAGTAGAAAACACCAGGTTTCAAGATGTTTGGACAATCAGGGAATACGTCATTCAGTAAGGAAATTAAATAATATTTGGTATTCATTTTGCATTATATTTAATACAACTATGTATTATTTCAGCTGGTTTCAACGCAGCAACGCAGTCCAGTCCATTTGGACAATCCGCGTTTGGTAAACCAATTACTACAACAAGCTTCGGCACTGGCACAGCACCAGTCTTTGGCAGCAACAATGCCTCTTTGTTTAGCTCAAAACCTGCAGGCTCTACCACTGGTGGCTTGTTTGGTAATACTACAACACCGCCTGCATTTACTCAACCATCTTTTGGAGGTATAAACCTTGTGTGATAAATTGCTACTTTTTGAAAAACCTTGAGCTACTTATTAAACAGCAATAATACATTTCATTTCTTGTTTACAGGGTTTGGTACAACTAACACTAACACCAATTTATTTGGTAGCCAGCAGACTGCAAGCACAAATCTTTTTGGTACAAATACTGCAACTTCTGCTTTTGGACAATCAAATAAGCCAGGATTTAATTTTGGTGGAAACTCTGGGACAAATTTATTTGGACAGCCCCAACAGTCGACTCAACAAACTACACCTTTTGGACAAACTAACACTGCTGGAAACACAAATTTATTTGGAACAACACCTGGTAAATATACCCTTTGATGTTTATGGTCTTGTGGACATCACTGTAATAGAATAGATGGAGAAGCTACAACATTAATATGTTTTCACAATAACATAGGTTTTGGTAGTACAAATACCACCACCACTGCTATGACTGGTACTGTAGTTAAATTCACTCCTGTCATTACTACTGACTCCATGTCGAAAAATGGTATATCTCACACAATATCGGCGAGACATTGCTGTATCGCATCGATGAAAGAATACGAATCAAAGTGTTACGAGGAGTTACGTTTCGAAGATTATTCCGTTGGACGAAAAGGTATTAATACGAGATAACCAAAATTTCTGTCCTTGTAAAATGAATTAAGATAGCTTTTGTTTGTATATTTAATTGTTTGGTGTACATGTATATATATCGTTTGTATGTTTTCTTCGCTGGTCAGGGCCCAGTACAGGAATTTTTGGTACTCCCGCACAACCTTCACCTTTTGGTACTGCAGGGGCAGGTACTAGTACAGCAACGACGGGTAAACTATTATAATTTATCTTCGTATATTCATTAAACGCCGTATCTTTTAATAACATTCAATGCAGATGACTAAAAGAAATTTGATGACTTTTCTTTCACTTTAATTTACAATGTCCTTCCTTGTTTTGTTCAGGTTTTGGTGGAATGAGCAGTGGCTTTGGAACGACTACTCAATCTGGATCAAGTGGACTTTTCGGGAAGCCTATGACAAACTTTGGAACACCTGCTACTACAACTACGAATAACTTTGCTTTCAATTCTACTCCAAACACAAATTTATTTGGTAGTAACACTCAGAACAAACCATTCGGTAGTAAGTATTGATGTTTTTAAGTGCAATGCTATCGGTAGACTCGATAACGATCAAGTTGCAAGACATAGTAGGTTAGTTTTTACAAAATACAATTAGTTTCATCTACAGCAGCAGCGCCAACCCCACTTTTTGCAACCAGCAATACTAACCAAACTGCTGGTGCAGGTTTTGGTGGCATTAATACGGCACAGAACACCAGTTTTGGATCCACTTTTGGCTCGACTCAACCAAACCAGGTAATGGCAAGAAGAAATATTTATACGTGTTACACATGGGATCCATCGTAATTCTACTTATGTTTATAGAGTATTGGTTTGTTTAATCAAAACAAATCGGCTTTCAACGTACCAGCTACATCGTCCAGCACAGGATTCACCGCCTTCGGTCCACCCGCCAGTAATACGGGTACCTCCTTGTTCGGTACTAAGCCCGCTGGAACAACAGGGTTTGGAACGACACCTACTTTCGGTTCGACTACGACGTCCACTTTCGGGAATGCGACAGGTTTCACTGGTGGTCAAAATCCTGGTTCTTCGTTATTTAACACACCTTTTAAACCTGCAGGACAAACAACTGGGTTCTCTTTTGGTACTACTACTGCACCCACCACTGGACTTGGTATATTATTTAAATAAATAAATATAATTCATAGTTTCAATATAATTAAATTTCTAATTTAAATTATTTCTTAGGCACAAATACAGGATTGCCATTAGGTGGTGGTAATACATTGTTTGGACAACAAAAGCCAGGAGGTTTATTCGGAAATACTGGAAGCAATACAACCTTTAATTCGTCGACATCTTTTGGATCTTCGACGTTCGGAACTGGCTTGAACGTTGGAAGTGGCATTGGAATGGGTTTAGTCGGCACCGGGTAAAGTATCGTATTTTTCGATTTATTTATATTTGAAGCATTTTCTTGTTTATCTGACACTTTTTTTAAATCTTATAATCTTTTTCCTCTGATCTGCTACCTTTCCCTGCCTCTCTTTCTTTTTCTGTCACAGAACCGCAAATAATCAAGTAAAGAGTTCTGGAACTGTACCTGTGCATCAACAAATTTTAGCTTTAGTATCAGCACCATTCGGCGATTCGCCGTTACTAAAGAACCTTCTACCGGTAAGAAATTAGGTTAGGTTCACCGTTTCTCAAACTTTGCATTCAAAAAATATATCTTGTATTTTAGGCTTCTGGCAAAACGGAAAAATTATTAAAGCCCGCAAATACACCTTCTAAAATAATAAACGGTGCGCAATACAAAGTCACAGCAGATAATAAATCTCCAAAAATCAAAGCTAAAGTGGTTACACCTGCCCAGTTATCAAAGGTAAGTCAAAGCGAATAAAATTATGAAATGTGCTTTATGTACGTATGATTTCTCGTAGAAGTCAATGTTCGAAGGCCTCGAGGATGAAGATCCGCTCTCCGAAGCGTTCCAGCCCCGTCCGAACGCGAAGCGCTTAGTGTTACGTCCAAAATCGATATCAAATTCCATAGTTTCGTCGTCAACGGAAAACTCACCGACTGGGAAAAGTGTGCAGGCTGGCAGAGCCGAGGAAAAGGACACTTTGTCGAACTCGTACATACAGAACACAACTGTCGAAAGCGTAGATAAAGAAAATCATAATCAGGATAATAACCGGCACTTAGCGAACGATCGGAGGTCCTCTACGTCTTGGTTGAAGACGAGTATTACGCGTAACTCGACGACAAAGAATTCGGACGATGACATATACGAGGGTGAACGCTCACCGTTCTCCGGTCCGAACGTGTCGTCCGAGGGAGTGATAAATAATACCATTACCGAACTGCGACCTTACGCTAACGCTAACCACGGAGATCACTCGTGTGCAGAGATCAACACTTCGGCTGACACTTCTCTGAAGAATACAAGTGCCAACGATAAGAATTGCACGGACAATATATCTCAGATCACCGACTCGAGTCACGAATTGGATGACAGTTCTTTCTCGATCAACCAAACGTCCAACTGGAAAATGAACGCAGCGAACGTAATACTGAAACGCGTGGGCTACTACACCATTCCACCGCTTGACAAATTGGACGATTACGTTCGCGGAGAAACGTGCATTGTACCACATTTCACGGTTGGCCGTACGGGTTATGGAAACGTGTATTTCCCCGACTCGTTTGATATATACGGTCTTAATTTAGACGAGATCGTACATTTTCGACATAAAGAAGTTATCATTTATCCGGACGACGAGAAAAAGCCACCGGTCGGCCAGGGATTGAATCGAAAGGCACAAGTCACTCTGGACCGAGTTTGGCCGCACGATAAATCGCTGCACAAACCGATTACCGATCCTCGTCGATTGAGCGCAATGGATTACGAAGAAAAGCTACGGAGAGTGTCCGCGAAACACGACACTAGATTCCTCGAGTATCGACCTGAAACTGGCTCATGGGTTTTTAAGGTAATATTAATTATTTTTCTTTTCTTTATTCCGGTTTCTAACATATGTTTTCTGCAGGTGGATCATTTCTCAAAGTATGGTTTAAGCGATTCGGACGAAGACGACAGCAACGGCCCCCCGATAAATGATCCAAAGAGATTGAAGCTATCTAATGCTGCACAAAAAACTGCAAATAAGTTAGAACAATCAAAAGTCCCTGTAAGTGTTATATTGTACGATTCTCAACGTAGACCGTAATTACAACTTTTCTTTTATACAGAATCAAAACAAGGACGCTGCAGTTAATAACAAAGATGGCGTAGAGTTCTTTATGATCGACGGTGTTCTTTTTGATCGAAAAGCCACCAAACTTTATCGAAATCGATCTCATCGAACAGGTAAGTAATTCTGAAATATTTCATGACAAGGAGATAGTGAAGAACATAAATCGTTTAGATCGCAAACAAGTTGAGGAACAACTACCGGTTAGTCCGACCGGAGATAATGCTCGTATTTTGGGCACTGACAGTCATAAGCTTCAACTGATGAAGGCCAGTTTCTTTGACAGTAGCGACGAAGAAATTAACGAAGTTTATGATCAAGGTAAAAAATGATCCTATCCTATTTGCTGCTAATGTTTATTGAAATTAATTATGCTTTTATTTTAGATTCACATCGTGCCTTATTTCCTCCTGGTTACAAAGGTACTGTGAGAAGTTTCAATGACAGTCTGCAAAAACTAGACGAAACTGAAAAATATGAATTGACTTATAGTCCAACACCTCGATTGAATTTGACAGTGCAGCGCACACAACCTATGATTTACGACGATGAACCGATAATTTCGAAGACAGGTAAAATTGCGAAACATTACTAATATGCAAGTTATATTAAGTATAACGATATTTGTATTGTAGGTAGCAAGTTGAAGGACATTACACCCACGAAAACTTCAATGATCTACAGAAAAAGTTTCCCCGATCCACTGATAACTCCGGTAACCTCAATTTTGAAATTACGTTCAGAAGTGATCCCATTTTCCAAGTCTATTATACATATGCTCGAAGCTCGATGTATTGCTGGAACTGGTAAAATATCCATCGATTATTTTCTTCGTAACAAATTTCTACTCATGCAAACGATACATAAACGTACGTTCGTTTAAAGAGATACAGTTTGGAAGAAAGTTTAAACCAAGTTGGGGACGTGGCTTGACGTTGCTCACACTAAGTACGCAAGAGCAGGCAGTCAAAGTGTTGTTACACAGTCCGTTCAAGGAAATTGGATCTTACGTTGGCGGTCGTGCTTTGGAAGATACATCGTCTGCTGCGATAGTTCAACGCATACAGATTTTAGGTGGTAGTGGAACAGACGAAGAGCAGGAGATATTAACAACTGCACTTTCTTCATTCAAGAAAAGTATAGAAGGCCATCTGAAACTGCAGTTGGCGCAACGTCTGATAAATCACGAAGCAGATTGTCCCTTGTTCGTTGTGGACACAAATGTGAACAAAGCGAGTATCGCTTTGCATGAACATTGCAGCTTAGCGGAAGAATTCGCTGATCAAGATCGCAAAGATTGTTTCGCTGCATACGTTGTTAACGTTTGGAAGCTTTGTGTCGCTCTTTGGGGTATTCTACCCGAGTTAAGCACAGGTATGCTTTACCCATAAATATTTAAATCTCGTTACTACTTCGTCTTCGCTTTTAGAAAACACAGGAGATCACGCTGTCGTGGTAGCACGTAGAGAAGCTATCGGGGAATGGTTAAAAAATTTTATACGTAGGTCATTGGAACAGCAGAAAGATACCAACATCACTAACGACGAAAGGATTTTGCTTTTGTTATCCTGTATGTACAAAACACTGTCTTATTCTCTGTAACGATTTTTGTTAATTTTTTTCTATTTTCATAGCTTTCGAATTGGAGGAAGCATGTGAAGCTGCGCGAAAAACAGGCGATCACTGTTTAGCTCTATTAATGGCTCAACTGCGCAGCGGAATGCCCGTAAAAGCTTTAATAAAGCACCAAATTGCTTTATGGCAAGATGCGGATGTTGACGAAAATATATCCGTGGACCGATTGAAACTTTACGCACTGATCGCTGGAGAACCACTCGTGTCCAGTAAACATGGTCATATTAACGTTTGCGAGGGTCTCGATTGGAAAAGGGCACTAGCTGCGCATTTATGGTAACTTGTGTAAAATTTTGGGAGTACTTTTTAATGTATATAGGGTGTCTCATAACTAGGGTCTCTGAAGTAGGGGGTAGCTGAGGTGATTCTGAATAAAATTTCCCTTTGCAAAAATGGGATTAGTACGCGTTGAAATACTATCCGTTAAATATCTACGCGTTGGATTACTACGCGTTGGATATCCACACGCTGGATTACTACGCGTTGGATATCCACGCGCTGGATTATTACACTTTGCATTACTACGCGCTGGATTACTACGCGTTGGATATCCACGCGCTGGATTACTACACTTTGCATTACTACGCGCTGGATTACTACGCGTTGGATATCTACGCGCTGGATTACTACGCGCTGCACTACCACGCGTAGGATTACCACGCGTTGCATTATTACGCGTTGGATTACTACGCGTTGGATATCCACACGCTGGATTACTACGCGTTAGATTACCACG